TTTCCGAGGCTGCTCCTCATCTCTGCTCCATGCTGTTAGTCCCTGAGGGTGACCCTGACGCCTTCGACATCCCGACCCCTCTTACCTACGTTGAGGCCACCTCGGGACCTTAGGCCTCTCAGTGGATAGCTGCCATGGAGCACGAGATGGCATCTTGGAGGTCCACCGGCACCTACGTCGACGCAGTTCCCCAACCTGGGGTGAACGTAGTCGACGGTCGGTGGCTCTTCAAGGTGAAGCGCCCGCCTGGAGAGCCGCCTGTGTTCAAGGTGCGCTACGTGGCCAGAGGCTTCAGTCAGCGCGAGGGGGTGGACTTCTTCCAGACCTTCGCCCCGACCCCGAAGATGACTACTCTTCGGGCGCTGCTACACGTAGCAGCACAGCGCGACTACGAGCTTCACTCCCTCGACTTCTCTACTGCTTTCCTTCAGGGCAGCCTACACGAGCAGGTCTACCTGCGCCGACCGCAGGGGTTCATTGGTACCTTCCCCCCTGGGACCCAGTGGCTTCTCAGGCGCCCGGTCTACGGCCTGCGTCAGGCTCCGCGCGAGTGGCACGACACGTTGCGGGCCACGTTAGCAGACCTGCAGTTCTTTCCGTCGTACGCTGACCCCTCGTTGTTTGTGCGTTCCGGCCAGACTCCGCTCTACATCCTTGTCTACGTAGATGACCTGGTCTTTGCTACTGCTGACAGGGACGCACTGGCCTCTGTGAAGGCCGAGCTGCTGAAGAGACACACCTGCACTGACCTTGGAGAGCTACGTCGCTATCTTGGCTTGCAGATCTCTAGGGACAGAGCAGCACGCACCATCACTCTGACTCAGTCACACTTGGTGCGTCAGGTCCTTTAGAGGTTCGGTCTTCAGTTCTCCTCTGCACAGCCCACACCTCTACCTGTAGACCACGGGCTTTCCGCTCCTGTTCCTGAGGAGCCAGTAGAGCCTAGCGGCCCTTACGCAGAGCTTGTGGGTTGCCTCATGTACCTGATGACCTGCACTCGCCCAGATCTCGCATACCCTCTCAGCATCCTAGCTCGTTTTGTGGCCACTGGCAGACACCGACCACAGCACTGGTCGGCCGCTAAGAGGGTTTTGCGATATCTAGCGAGTACATCAGGCATGGGGTTAGTGTTAGGAGGACGCAGGCCAGTGGTCCTTACTGGGCACACAAACGCTTCTTGTGCAGACGACTCTGAGACGCTCAGGTCGTCGCAGGGCTACTGTTTTAGCCTTGGTTCGGGTGCTATCTCTTGGAGATCCACTCGCTCGTCGTCTGTTGCTCAGTCGAGCTGTGAGGCTGAGATCTACGCTGGTGCCATGGCGGCACAGGAGCTCCGCTGGCTGACCTTCTTGCTCACAGACTTAGGTGAGCGGCCTAGCTCTGCCCCGGTCCTGTTCGCTGACAACAGGGCCATGATACTCCTGTGTCAGGAGCCTCGACTTGAGGGCAGAGCGAAGCACATCCAGCTTCGGTACTTCCTCCTGCGCGAGCTACAGCAGCGCCGCCAGGCCCGCGTAGTTCACTTGGCCTCTGGTGCCAACACAACTGATATGTTTACGAAGGCGCTCGCGCCTAAAGATCATCAGCGGCACTGTGTACAGCTCGGTCTAGTTCCTGTAGCCTCTTACTTGCTAGGACCTTGACTTTGTACTGTCCTATATATATCTATATATATGTACTCAGATTGGACTTGTGTCCTCTCCCAGTGGCTGGACTAGTAGTGCCGCCCTGGTCTTGTTCTTGTCTTGCCTGTACCCCATTTTGACTGGTCTTTAGACCCTTGTCTCAGTGGCTGGACTAGTAGTGCTGCCCTGAGCTGCTTGTTCAGGATTTGCCCCTATGCAGTCTAGGGGGTGTGTCAAACATATATTTGTATAGACTGTATAGGGTCACCTCTTAGAGGGTACAACACTTTTAGGTATATACCCTTGTTCTCTCACTTTATTCAACACTTGTTAAATTTTAGTTTCTTACAACTGGCGCCAAATCAATCGTCGCGCACCAATAACGTAGCAAAGGTACTTCGCATTACAAACAATTTCGGGTCCCATACCATTTCAGAAATAGAAAACGCACCAAAGGGTCTGCCCCAAAACGAAACATTTTTCAAGAGCTCCGCTGGTGTGCTATTCTAGCATGTGGTTTTAGGACCCTGCTGCCGATGGCCGTAAATACTCGCCAAAAATGACGCGCCATAAATTACACCTTTTGAGTACGGCCAACTGGCCGAAATATGAACCTGGTCTCAAAAAAGTGTCTTGGTTCTCTCCATGCTGCGCAAAGCTTACAGCTGAATAAATATCGCACCTGCCCTGCATCATCTTGCCTCCACATGTGAATCTTCACATGTGTTGTGATATAATTGGTACATAGCATTTCTGTAAGTCGATTAAGTGTAGTTAGTGTCGAATCTTACTGTAGAACATAAGTCCGTAGGATGACGTCAGCAAATAGCGCTGGTCATAGGACAGTCGTTTCAGTCACGCGAACAGTCGCACCTCTTCAATATCATCTAGGGCGCATAGCGCGATAGTGACGAACATGTACATTAGCGAATAGGTACTTTTCGTAGAACTATAAATCTCGGTCAGGTCTTTTCATTATTAACTTTGATTACCCACAAGTTCACATACTCAGGTTATTCAACCTTGACTATTACATTTTACAAGACTTCCGCTGTCTTACTAGTCTACCATTCTAGCAAAGATCCAGGATTTGCCAAGTGTTCGTGTTTATAGTTTATACTTAGTCTACTACAACACCAGACGATTTACTTCAACATGAACATCATGGGTATTCAAAGGTACTCCGTAACTTGAGATAGCATTCCTGAGTGAAGCAACTCTGTCATCTCCTCAGCCTCTACAGGTGATGTTGCTGCAGAACCAAAATTATTGTACATCCTGGTGTCAGACTTTCCTCATGTAGTTCCATTGATTCAATCATTCGGGCACCAGCCAATCTGAGCATTTAGCTGTCTTGTCCAGCCCTAAGGGAATAAGAAACCTGGATATCACTTGGCTGAACAGCAGTGGCATCTGCAGCAACAACCGAAGCAGTCTTGGATTTGCGCCGTGATTTTGGTCTTGCTGTGTTTACCTTCGTGCCGATGCTGCTGCTCCGGCTGCTCCCCCGTGCCTGCTGCTGCTGCTACTTTTGCCATTGCAGTTGCTGCTGCTCGTACTGCTGCTGATCCCTCCAGCCCCAGTTCTCTCTGTTAGCTCTCCGTCGGCTGCAGCAACACCCGCCCGCGGATCTTCTTGTTAAGTGATTGGTGGAATGGGGGGGATGGGGGCGAGGGGGGCTTCGGGCTTGAGGTCTGTTCGGCAGATGGGGCAGGTGGTTTTGGCGGCGAGCCAGAGGTCGATGCAGTCCGCGTGGAAGCCGTGTGCGCACGCCGGCACCACCTTGATGCGCTCGCCCGCCGCGTACTCGCCCAGGCACACCGCGCACTCGCGCACATTCGTCCACGTCAGAGTGGGACTACCACTCGGAAGACTCCGCGCCTCCTCGTCGCCGCTCAGCGGAAATTTCATATTGTCGTCACCCTCGATGTTTACCACGAATTCGCCTCGCTTTGAACCAGTTTCGCGGGCGCTTTCTTTCTCCGGTCCAAAGCCGATGCTGCTGTTTTCTTCCCTAGTTGGGCAGCGAGAGATCGAAAATTCTCTGCTGATTCGACGGGAGGACGAGCTGAGCGTTCGCGAAATTTCGCGGCTGATTCTGCGGAGGGAGGTCAACCCGGTTGTCTCAGGGGTAACCCCGCGACTGTCGATTTTTTCTTCGCGAAACGTGTAAACTGGAAACGAGCGAATGACTGCCGGATCCAGACCCTTGGCGACATTCGCGGATTCGCGAAGAGCCCGCAGTCGCGCGGCCCGTTCTGGGGGTACAGTCGCAGGATCCGTCAGGTGAACCCACCCGAGCTTGCGGAAGATGTACACGAGGAGGCCTGTAGCGAGTATAATAGTAACGAATCCCGCAATAGAGACAACGATCATGACAGTCGAAACTGAAGATGTTGAAATGCATGGCGGCGGTGATGGTGCTGACGTGGCGTTAGGCGAGCTGCTTCGCAGCATCATGCCCGACATGCCGATCCCGCTGTTAGCGGAATATGATGACGTGGATGCGTCGCATGGAGCCATCGCGTCGACGAGAGTGCAAGAATTTGTTGTCGCTCGAGATGTTAGTCTTCAAAGGAATCGTTGTCGCAAGTTACGACTAACTTAGGACAATCCGTGAGACCCTGATGCGTGATCTCCCTTGGAAAAAGTCACCAGCAGTATTGTTCTGCAATCCCCACTTTAACCGGTTCCAAAGGCTTCACGTTTTCTGACTCAGAAAAGGCTTTTCTAGCAATAACTGCTCGACGAATTCGGAAAGGGCGGTGTGCGCTCATCTGAATACAAACCACCTCATAATGTGTAAGCGACGGAATAACGGCCATCAGTTGAGCAGCCTCACACGGACTGTATGTGCAGGTTCGGCAGAGGTCCTGCGTTCAACTGCACAACCAAAGTCTGCAGAGGAAGCCATGCGTTCTTCAGGAGGTGCCAGTTTCAGCGAATTTGGCTTCAGATGGCAGCCACTGATATTCGCTGTTAGCTAATCAAAGCATTCTGTTCGAGGAAGTTTTCGGTAAGGGATGTTACTTGAGTACGGTGCAGATTGGTTCTGCCGGCCACCAGCTGTAATGCAAGGTTCCAATTTGGGCATTTGCAAGAATCCAACCAAGCGATTGGTTGGTGTGAGGCTAGGAACGGTCAAATTCATCTGCTCGGCCACGTGTAGTTGTATTCGTGGAATCTGGTTCAGCTGCGACTAGAGACACCTGGTTTCACGCATCCGTCAAGAAATCGCCAGTCGGTTGCGCCTGCGATGTCGCCGCGCCTTGCCAGATGGGAGCAGCCGTTCCGTCGCGCGATTGCTGGGTGTTGGGCGATGATTGGTCGGTAAGGGCGCGGTTCAAATCACACAGTTTTCACGCATCTTCGTAATTACGTTGAAGAGTTGACTGTACAATTAGGTTTCCAAATGCTATGAATGTAAGACATGCAATACTAGAGTCACTCCACTCCATGGTTCTCCACGGCCATTTCCTCGCTTCAACAGTATTGGGCGTGATACTTCATGTCCTAGACCTCATCAATGCTGTTCCGCCTCTGCAATCTCCCATGCTTATGATTGAAGGGGCTCAATAACTTGGTTCTTGGATATGAGTTGGTGACCAACTCACCATATCCTTCCGGCCAGGGACAACTTAGGTCAAATGAGGCTCACTGTTCCACCGCCTGAGGTCTCCTCATCCAAAGCAGTGATGGGGACCAGGCACTCGCCAGAAAACTCCCTTCCCTTTATTTCGTTTGTGATGATGACCTTAAAACCCTGGTGTGACCTTGATGGTCACTATCAATCACGTCACTCCAACCCTCGTGCTCGTGTTCCAACTCATTCTCGAGCCGGTTCTTCCTGTGCTCTCAAATCAGGCTATCTCTACCACCCCTCTCCTTCCTGCATCAATCAGGACCGTTCCAGCCCCCGTTTCTGCTGCTTCTGCTGCTGCTGCTGCTGCCTCCTCAACTCCCACCGCTGCTGCTGCCACTGCTGCTGGTACTGCCCCTGTTACCGCGCTCCCCGCTCATTCTGTAACCCCTCCGTCGGTTACAGTAACACCCGCCCGGTGATCTTCTTGTTGAGTGATAGGGGAGGTGGGGGCGATGAGGTTTTGGGGCTTAAGGTCTGTTCGGCAGATGGGGCAGGTGGTTTTGGCGGCGAGCCAGAGGTCGATGCAGTCCGCGTGGAAGCCGTGTGCGCACGCCGGCACCACCTTGATGCGCTCGCCCGGCGTGTACTCGCCCAGGCACACCGCGCACTCGCGTACATTCGTCCACGTCACACTTGGCACACTCGGCAGTCTCGGCGCGTCGTCATCGCCGCTCAGCGAAAACCTGTCGTCCCCTTCGATGGTTACCAAGACTTCGCATGCGCTTTCTCTCGCTGATCGTCCGCCGGTGCTGCTGTTTTCTTCCCTGGTGGGGCAGCGAGAGAGCGAAAACTCTTCGCTGATTCGACGGGTTGAAGAGCTAAAAGTTTGCGAAACTTCGCAGCTGTATTGGCGAAGGGAAGCTAACACGTTCGTTTCAGTGGTAACCTCGCGTTTCACGGATTTGTCGCTAAACGTGTAAACAGGAAACGAGCAAATGACTGCCGGATCCAGACCCTTCGCGATGTTCGCAGATTCGCGAAGAGCCCGCAATCTCGCAGCCCCTTCTGGATCTGGATCTGTCTGGTAGAACCACCCGCGCTTGTAGAATATGTACACGATGAGGCCTGTAGCGAGTATAATAGTAACGAATCCAGCGACAGTGGAGATGAACGTGACTGACGATACTGGAAATGTCGGCGCGCATAGCGGCGGTGGTGGTGCTGACGTGGCGTTGGGGAAGCTGATCAAGAACGTGTCAAACGCATTGCTTCCGGAGCTTGATGACGTGGATGCGTCGCAGGGAGCCATCGCATTGCGTTTAATACCGTGAGATTCTGATGCCTAAACTTGCTAGGGAACAAACTGCTGCAGTGTAATCCAGCGCACCGGTTTCGAGTCACGCAGTGTCTTGCTTCGAGTCTAGATTGTTCGAAGTCGTTCTTAGAATCGTGGTTTCGGTTTCATACCTCTCTACGTCCAGAGACGGATTGCGTGTGTTTGAATCCTACACCAGCATCTATGAGTGAGACATGTTCAGCAGCCGTGCAGCTTTATCTATGGGGGAACTGTGGGGGTGTCGTACTAAAAAGCAACAGGAAATATCTGAAGAGGACGCCATGGATTTAGAAGGTGCCACTTTCAGTGAATTTGGCTTCTGCTGCTGCCACCGATTTTTTTGCAAGCTTGTCAAAGCATTATCTACCATAAGGTACGCAGTGAAGAGGCTTTCAGCAGGTTTACAAACTTTCAATTCCGGTGAAGCGTGGTTCTCCCTTTCCCCGCAGCTTCATTTCGAGATTCCGTGCTCTGGTGTTGCAAGATTCCAGCCGAGTCAGGGAAGGTTTGTGTGAGATTTTTCATTCTCAATCACGTGTCTTTCATTTATTCGTTAAACATGCCAACTGGCGCAAGAAACTGCAAATCACGGGACCTCTTGACCTTCGGTGAACCAACAATGTCGCCGCGCCTCGCTGGATGGGGTTGCTTGCTGGTCAATGGTTGGTCGGTTGAGGCGCAGATCAGGGCACAGTTCAAATACCGCACTTACGCATCCTCGTAATGCTCTTTGAAGAGTTTGCACTGTACTATGCATTTCCGAAGAGCTCTTGCAGATCACTCTATTCTTATGGGTTAGGAGATTCCTTGCTTCAACTGTCGAGGCTTCATGATGCAATCCATTAACTCAAGAATGCAGTACCACATTATTCTGTACAAAAAACCCTCTTCACCAAAGTGTTCGTCACGTCCTTTCCACTCTTTCATTTCCTAGACAAAAGATTTTCCTGCACTCACCAAACCATAGGCCTATTGCCAGCACTTGTGGTCCTTCCAAGGGGCTTAGAAACTTGGTACTAGGATATTGGCTAGTTAGCGGTGGTGGTGTTGACACCACCTCAAACATTGGCAGCAGTAGCATGAGCAACCTTGGGATTTGTGGCTCAATATTCGTCAAGATTCTCTGCCAAACACATTCATCAGGAGACCACGGGCTAGTCGAGGCTCACTGCTTCACCGCATGACGTCTCTCTTCTTCACGCCATGCACCTCTCTCCTGATATATGGCTGAGTTGGGGAAAACACACCCTCCTCCAGGGAGCGATGCGTTCCATTTTATACCCCCCTCACCCCCCACTGCTGCTGCTGTCTATTGCTGCCCCCGGAGGTACTGCCGCTGTTTCCTCACCCCCCGTTCCCTCTGTTACCCCTCTGCCGGTTGCAGTAACAACAACCTGCGAGTCTCCTTGCTGGGTGATGGGGGCTTCGGGCTTGAGGTCTGTTCGGCAGATGGGGCAGGTGGTTTTGGTGGCGAGCCAGAGGTCGATGCAGTCCGCGTGGAAGCCGTGTGCGCACGCCGGCACCACCTTGATGCGCTCGCCTGCCGCGTACTCGCCCAGGCACACCGCGCACTCGCGCAGACCCGTCATCACCACTTCATCGCTCTCGATGGTTACCACGAATTTGCCACGCGTTGAACCATTTTCGCCAGTGCTTTCTTTCACCAATTCGTCGTCGTTGCTGGTTCGACGAGAGGAGTCAACGGATCTCGGAATTTCGTGGCTGATTCTACAAACGGAGGCTAACCCGTTCGCGTCGGGTGTAACATCCCGACCGTCGAATTTGTCACAAAACGTGTAAACTGGGAATGAGCGAATCACTTCTGGGTCCAGTCCCTGCGAAGCGTTGGCGATGCTCGCACTTTCGCGAAGGATCAGCAATCGCGCAGCCACTGCAGGTCGTGCAGTCGGGGCAGGTTCAGGCACGACAAGCCACCCGAGCCTGTGGAAAATATATACGAGGAGGCCTGTAGCGAATACAACAATAATGAATCCCGCAATAGTGGAGAAAAATATGATTCCAGATAGTGAATACGCAAGCGTGCACGGCGGTGGAGGTGGTGTTGCTGACGTGGCGTTCGGGGAGCTGCCGTTTGATGACGTGGATTGGTCACAGGAAGACATTTGCTTGTGCAATTGCAGATGAGATGGCTAGAAAGGAATGGCGAGTGAGCCTGCTGGATGAAACTGCAGAGAGACCGCAGCATTGTCGCGCAAGTATAAACAGTACTACTGAGGATTAGGACCCGTCAGCTCGACTGGAGACCGAATTATAAATATTTCGTGGGACCGTACTAAATGCTTAGGGTCCTAATCTCCTGGAGATTAGGAGCGGCCAGGAACGCTAAAAACAGCAGCCTTCCGATGGCAGATTGCGTACTGTTTCTATGCCTTAGAGTCTGTGAGCGATCGAGGGCGGTAGGGAAAGGCGGTTTCGACCATTGCACGTCGCCACACTTCAAATATAAATAAGCTAAACTTCGTCCAGGTTCTGAGGCTTCAACTCGGAGTCACTTCAATGGTTGACTGAGCGCCACTAACTGCTTTGACTGCCTACAGACGGACGGATTGCGCTCTGCAGTCAGCACCCAGAAAGAGCAATTTCGCGTATGAGTGATTGAGAGACTGTACAAGGTGCGACGTTTTGCAGCTTCATGAGCACAAGGAATGTGCACTCATGCACACGATGGCACTGGCTGGATTGAGCTCTTCATACGGAAGCCATAGAATCTTGAACAGAAACTGGACAACAAATTCCGCTTCCACGATTACTCGGGTTTTTAAGGTTATCGGTAACCCTTACTGGCATTTTAATATTTTGAGTAACATTTATCCCTTTAACAGAAGGGTTTCTTGCTGTTCCAATCCCCCCGGGCCAGTTTTTGTGTTCTTTGAGGTTAGTTTGCACCACAGAAAACCACGCGTCACAATCTCCTTGTTCCGTCACTGTGGGGCTACTAAACTCTATGTTTCCTACAATATTGTGGGATCTGTAGCGCTACAGAAAATGACGACAACATTCGGGCAGGTTGGCTGGCAAGGAAAAAACTAAAACCCGTAGGGGCGAGTATGCCATTCTGGATGGCATCAACCCTAAATTCGCGGCCCTTTTGCGAGTTTAGGGTTGATGCCATCCAGAATGGCATGCCTGGCCCCTAAGGGTTTTATTGTTTCTGCCCTCTGCCTAAGATTGAGGAGATTGTTACACGTGGTTCGCTGTGGAGCGAGCTAACCTCGGAGAACAAAAAACTGCCCCCAGGGGGTTTGAATGGCGAAAAATCCTTCCGTAATAGGGGCTAAACGTGATCCCATAGAGTAAAACGTTAGTAAGGGTTACCGGTAACCTAAAAACCCCGATTACTCGTACAAGTGCTTCTCTCACAAACTTCATAGGCCCTCATAGCTTCGGTGCAGTTGGATCCGACGGCTTTTAAAAGCATTTCAGAGTGGTGACGCGTGCTGGGGTTCACTTTAGAGCACGCCGCTTGGTTCGGCTCCTGAGATGCTGACTGGTTATGGTGTGTGGACACTAAAAGGGACAACGATCGATTTTGCACACGTGTCTATCTGCTAATGGTGGGCCCTGTCCATCGGTGTCCTTGGGGAATTGACGGCTGATACCAGTTCCACCTTCGTTGTCGGCGGGCCTCAACGTGGCCTGGCATTCGGTTCGGTTGCCTGATTGCGAGGCAACATGGTTTGCTGGTCGGTGACGACGAGAGAGCAAGAGACCTGGACTGGAACTCAAAATACACCTGGTGTCCACAGAATGCCGTGCTAAAATCAGTCCCAATCGCTTCCCTGATCCATATTCCAGTCCAAAAACTGTACATCCAGCACGACTCGCAAACAGTGTGTTCCAGTGTCGGGCTTCAGTTTCAAAGCCTCACACGTATGGATTTACCGATATGGATGAGGCACACACTTCTCAGTCCACTATGGTAATGTCTACGAAACTAAGATAACTGAATTGCCTCGAGAAGTGCAGGTAGAAGGTAATACACGACCAGGAGAAGATCCCGCACGAATAAGCATCCATGCCAGGCAAGAAAACATCAGTAGGGCTACAGAGTTGCTGACCAGACTATGTATCCTCCCCACGCGCACAAGTTTGCCTCGGCCTCTGTTGAACCACAGTTGTCTCTGCTTTGCAAGCTCACAGCTCTAATAAATAGTGCTTCAACGTAACTTGCAGGGGACTTTCCTTTCAATATACATGGTGCTGTTTCCCTGTGCCCAAGAACACATCACTGCTGTCCCCCCTCCTCTGCTTTATCCCCTCCTCCCAACCCGATCATCATGTGTGCATGATGACCTCTTGACTGTTTGATCCACAGTGAATCTTCCTCCAGGACTACCTGTTGCCAGCGCACATAGCGCCTTCATTGTCACATGGTCCTGGCACCTTCTGCCCACCTTGTCTAGTCCAGATGGATTAGAACTTGGGTATGGGAAACCAGTTGGCTAAACCGCAGTTGCAGTGGCAGCTGGAGCGACAACGTCAGCAGTCTTTGGGTTGGCGCCTTGCAAAGCTCCTCTCACGGGGGGTTCCTCCTGTTAATGGGCTGCAAACCATCCTTGGGAAACACTGGGTCTGTTGAAGCTCTCAGCTTCCCAGCATGATGTGCTTCTCTCCCCTCCACCCCATGCATTTGGTTCCTGCTTCGATGCAGCGCTCAAATAGAACGCACTCTTCAGGGGCCTCTATTCCCACAAATTCCTTTGCAATGACAGCCTTGTTCAGCGTTGACCTTCCTCTGGAACAACAAGCCCTTTCCTCTGTTCTTCCTCCATCATCATACTCACTCCAAACCTCGTGCTCCTGCCAGTTCGCCTTCCCCCGCCACTCAAGCGGCCTCCCCACCGCCCCTCTCCGTCCCGCAGCAACCAGGGCTGCTCCGTCCCCCGTGTCTCCGCCCTCGCCTTCCCCTGCTGTTGCTGCTACTGCAGCAAACAGAAGAGCCGCTTCTTGCCTTTCCGCTGCCCCCGTTTCCGCCACTCCCCCATCCGTTCCCACAGTTCCCCGCACGGCTGATTCGCCAGCTGCCGTCTCACTGCTGCGTCCCCCTGGCTCTGACCGCAGGCCTTCTTGTGGGGGGATGGGGGGGTTGGGGGGAATGGTTTCAGTGGGGGATTTGGGCTCGATGTCTGTTCGGCAGATGGGGCAGGTCGTTTTGGCGGCGAGCCAGAGGTCGATGCAGTCCGCGTGGAAGCCGTGTGCGCACGCCGGCACCACCTTGATGCGCTCGCCTGCCACGTACTCGCCCAGGCACACCGCGCACTCGCGCCGACACGTCATCGCGTCGTCGTCGCTCTCGATGGTTACCGCGAGTTCGCTTCGCTTCGAACAGGTTTCGCCGGCACTTTCTTTCGCCAATTCGTCGCCGTTTCGAGAGGGACAGCGTGTGAGTGAGAAGTCCCTGCTGAGTCGACGGGAGGAGCCAAGAGATCGCGAAATTTCACGGCTGATTCTGCGAAAGGAGGCTAACCCGCTGGCCTCGGTTGTAACATCGCGACTGACGATTTTCTCGCGAAACGTGTAAACTGGGAACGAGCGAATCACTGCGGGGTCCAGACCTTGCGATGTCTTGGCGACACTCGCAGTTTCGCGAAGGATCAGCAGTCGGGCAGCCACAGCAGGACGTACAGTCACTGGAGGTTCAGGTTCGACGAACCACCCGAGCTTGTGGAAAATATAGACGAGGAGGCCTGTAGCGAGTATAACAATAACGAATCCTGCTATAGTGGAGAGGAACATGACTGCCGACACTGAATACACCGGCGTGCATGGCCGCGGTGGTGGTGCTGACGTGGCGTTTGGCGTCGCCGACGATGTGCCAGGGGAATTTGATGACGTGGTTTGGTCGCAGGGAGCCATAGATTGTGAAATTGCAGATGAGACAGCAAGACCGTGTCGCGTAGAGTGAAGAGAGCGAGCGAGCAGAAGTATTGTGAAGCGCAAGTAGGAAAAGGGATTCGCGCTTGAGTACTGAGGATCCGAAAAAAAAAAGCGGAAATAAGGAAGATTAGACGGAAAATTCCGTTGGACCGCGTGAAACGCTTAGGAACCTGATTTTTTGAGAACCTAGGACCGATCAGTGACACATCAATCAATAGCTTTTAGACAGCAGATTCCATACTGTGTGTAAATAGCGGCAGCACTCTTTATAGAGCATTCGACGGCCGGGAGCGTTGCAGGACGATACGGGGGAGGCAGTTTCGCCCTCTGCACCTAACCGCGCTTTAACGCTGAGTCCACTAGGCTTCGAGTTGACCGAGCGTCATTAACTGCTCGACAGCCTAAGAACAGGCAGAAAACGCTCTGCGGCTGCACCAGGAACATAGCATCTCCACCCTGGAGTGATTGAAATATGGCCATACGTTCCTCAACCCTCACACGCAGAGGTACGTACGCATGTACGCGATAGCGGGATAGAGCTCTGCATACGGAAGCCATGGAACCTGGATCTGAAACTGAGCCTTCATTCCCAGGCTAAGTTCCTCTCCCAGCAATCTTTGGAGTCCCTGCTTCGGTGTAGCTGGATCAGATGGCTTTTGAAGGTCTTTACAATGCTAGCGCCTGGTGGGGTTGGGTTTAGAGAATCCCGCTTGACTGGGCTTCCTAGATCCCTGTCCATTTCGATTTGTCGGTGGAGTGAGGGAAAATGGACACTGACGCGGCAAAGGTCAAAGTTTGCCCACGTGTACAGCTGCTACTGGTGGCACTGTAACCACTGTCAGTCAAAAATCGGATCAGACGCATGTGTGGGGATGTGACGGCCGGTTGCACCTTCGTTGTCGCTGCGCCTTGATGTGGCCTAGAATTCGGTTCGGTTCGGTGCCTTGATCGGGCTGGTTGGTCGGTGGAGACCGGAACTCAGAATACGAGCCTTTGAAGCCTACTCGTTACAGGGAGAAGAAATATTCGAAACTTATGAATTCATGCAATGAGCTGAACAAAATAGCTCTATGAGAATGCGAGGTGATTAGCAGCTATGCTGAAAAACAATGCAACACAAAAATATCCTTGAAAGGCAATCAGCAGCAGCAGGGAGACAGAGTGGCTGACCAAATTATGTATCCTCCTCTTCCCCCTCCTCCCCCACCCCTCCCAACATACATAAGTCTGCCCCACAGCTCTCCTGAACAGTGCTATGGCAAAGCCTGGCAACGAACTAGCCTTCGATATCCATGATGTCGTTTCCGTATGCCCAAGCTCACATCACTGCTGTTCCCCCTTGTTAGCTTTGTCCCCTAGTCTTACTCGAACATCATGTGTGCATCATGACCATCTCCTCTTGTCCGTTCTCCACAACGGATCATCCAGGAGGACCAGAAGGCCATCCTCTTTACAGCGCACCTGGTGCCTTCATTATAACATGGCTCTAGTACCATCCAATCAGAGCCATTTGCCCGCCATGTCCATTCCGGAGGGATGAAAAAAAAGGGCATCAGACACCAGTTGAATGAGCAGCAGATGTAGTGGCAGCTGCAGCGACAACAGCAGCAATCTTGGGGTTGGACCCTTGCAAAGCTCCTGTCCGGGGGCTGCAAAACACCCCTCGGAAACACTGGGTCAGTTGAGACTCACTGCTTTATAGAACATGCTCATTCGATGCAGAGTTTTATCAAAGGCACCATCCAGGGACCTCTGTTTCTTTGATTCTGCTGCGATGAGAACCTGATTCAGAAATGGCCTATTTTTGAGGCGCCTCAAAAAAAGACTCCTCACCCTCAATTTTGAGAACCTGATTCAGAAATGGCCTTCCTCTGGAATAGAAGGCCCTTCCTCTGTTCTTCCTCCCTCATCATACTCATTCCAATTCTCGTGCTCGTGCCAGTTCGCCTCCCCCCACAACTCATCCTGCCTCTACCACCTCTCTCCTCCTTGCAGCAACCAGGCCTGCTCCATACCCCAAGTCTTCCCCCTCACCTTCCACTGCTGCCGCTGCGACTGCCACAGCAACCAGAAGAGCCGCTTCTTGCCTTACCGCTGCCCCCGTTTCCGCCACTCCCCCATCCGTTCCCACAGTTCCCCGCGCGGCTGATCCGCCACCTGTCGTCTCGATGCTGCGTTCCCTTGGCTCTGACCGCGGGCCTTCTTGTGGGAGGATGGGGGGGTTGGGGGGGTTGGGGGGAATGGGGCCGAGGGGGGCTTTGGGCTTGAGGTCTTGGCGGCAGATGGGGCAGGTGGTTTTGGCGGCGAGCCAGAGGTCGATGCAGTCCGCATGGAAGCCGTGTGCGCACGCGGGCACCACCTTGATGCGCTCGCCAGCCGCTTATCGCTCAGGCACACCACACAACCGCGTCGACACGTCATCGCGTCGTCGTCGCTCTCGATGGTTACGACGAATTCGCCGGGTTCGTAAGCAAGTTCTTTTGCGAAATCGCCACCGCAGCAGGTTTCGCCTCTGGATATGTTTCTTCGGATGGAGGCTAGAATGTTCGTCCTCCGAGGTTTTCAAGTCGCGACTGACGAATTCGTCGCAAAACGTGTAAACTAGAAACGAGCGAATCACATCCGGGTCTAGACCCTGCGAAGCTTTGGCGACGTTCGCGGTTTCGCGAAGAACCAGCAAACGTAGGGCTACTGCCTGGTTTACAGGTTCTGTCATACGAAATACAAGCTTGCGCCAAATGTAAACGAGGAGGCCTGCAGCGATTCAACAAAAATAAATCCTCCAATCGTGAACATAGCTGTAGATACTGAACTTTCAGGCGTGCACGGCGGTAGTGATGGCGCTGACGTGTCGGACCCATCGTTAGCGGAATTTGATGACGTTGGATCCACTGCGTCTAAAACCGATGATGAGATTGGAGGAATGAAATTTATGGATTATTATGTCTGAACGAGGATACCCTGCGAGCAGCACTACGAAATGGGAAGATTAGAATATCCGAATCAAGAGAAATCCTAGAGACATGGACCTGGCCTTCTGAAGCTCGAGGTTAATACTGAAAGGAGCACTACTAGTAGCCAGGCTGAGCAGGAAATTTCAACTTGAATCGTTATGAAGCCGCACTGGACGGCGGTTGTAAGCCCGGGTTTTATGGTGGCTGTGGATGGGTAGTCGAGACCCGCTTCAGTGCGAGACGGCCGCGCCTTAGACCCAAGATGTGGCTGTGTGTAGATTCTGCAAGCCATGGCGTAGTCATGGTTGTCGCGAGACGCGTTCTTACTACGAGACAGGCTCGTAGACTTACTACCGATGGGTGCACTGCACTCTACGAGCGCTGGGAAAACCCCAGGGTAGAATGAAAGATAGCCACAAGTTTTTCGGCTTCGTTGGTAAACTTGTGACTATCTTTCGAATGAAAGATGGCTGGGGAGGACTCTTGCTTGACGGATGGTTTGCGTCGGGGACCTCGTTGTACAGATGATTTGCTAGCGAAAACCAATCGCAACATGCTGATTTACGCACCCTCACGACACAAACCTGGTTTTTCCCAACCAACTGTAAAACACCTGCCCCAGGTTCTAGAAACTTGGGTCGTGGAGTTTAAAGCTGGTGGCCCAAAACGCGCAAGCCGTCTTTGAACCCACGAGCGAAGCCGTCTTTCAGACAACGAAGCCATGGAAATGGATATTTGTGAAATCTGTTGGTGCTTGCAAGCAGTTGTATCTTGCTCCTGGCAGACTTTGAACGGAAACACAAAACGCATGAGTTCGGTTCGGCGAGAAGGGATGAAGATCTTAGGACGTTGCAGAGTCATCAAATTTGTTGAGGTGTGACTGGCTCAAAGTGAAATGTTTCGGCTCGAAACGGAACAGTACGAATCAGCACGGTCAAATATTGTGCGAGTTTCCTGCACAATATTACAGAACACTAATGGCTTGACCATACAAAAAACGAACCCTATTTTAGCAGCGCGTCATTTCCCGCTGTGTCTTGCTTGACAAGAATCGACACACACAGGCACGAACACAATATGCGGGTTACGAAAGGTGACTAAATCCAGGCGAGGGAAGTGGCTTGGCTATTTTTCCTGCCAACAGGGCAAAATTTGACGAGTTCGCATTCCTTCGTCAGTTTCGCGACGGTCTGGGGCTTGCAAGCAGTTGTATCTTGCTCCTAGCAGACTTATAGAAACACAAAGCTCAATTTGTTGGTGCATAAACGGCCAGTTGCTCCTGCAGTCAAATTAGTGGGGCAAGCATTTGCTTTTGCCGTCAACAAGTATGATCGCTGATCTGGAGCTTTCATAGAGGTTCGGGGCCCAAACAAGCGGGAAATGATAGAAAAGGGTCCTCCCTTTGCCAGAGGTGTGAGAAAAAAAGGTCAGGCAGCTTTTTGCCCCGAGACCTTGTCTCTGAGCCTGTACTACACCTTATTCGTCATACAATACGCACATATCACAGGGTCACAAATTTGCAGGTTCATGGGGGCGCTTCGTATCATAACCCTGTCGTGGGACCTTTATATGAATTCAATATATTGTACTGTATTAGGGCACAAAACGAAAAAACTAAAACCCATAGGGGCACCGCATGCGACTCGGGGTGGCATCAACCCTAAACTCGCAAAAGGGCCGCGTGTTTAGGGTTGATGCCATCCGGAACGGAAGTCCATCCCCAATGGGTTTTAGTTTTTTTTTCCCCGTTGAGAAATGTTGAATGGTACCGCAAACGTCCCGTAAATGTTTAAAGTAGTAAACAAAGAACGAAGTGTATTTCAGGTTCAGAGGCGAGGTCCCTGGAGCAGAAAATTGCCAGACCTTTTTTGCTTACGCCTCTGGCAAAGCGAGGACCCTTTTTGATCATTTCCCCAAACAAGCAACAGTGTCTCTGCAAACTGTCATTTCTACCATCCAATTTCTGCCATTTGGCGAAACGATTTTTTTCGGGCCAGATCTGGTACGTGAAATTAGAAGGCATGGCTACCCAGGGCAAACAAATATAACCCTTATGGACCCGTATGCCATTTTGGTATGGGTAAACCTAAATTCGCAAATGAATGTATCTTACGACGAGGCTCGACTGCCTCGTTAGGATTTGAATTAATGGAAATGCGCCATGTCAGCTTGACGGCAGAAGAAACTATTTTCCTCATTGATTTGACCGCAGGAGCTAAAATCCTGTGCAGAGACGACCGGAAGCGCCGGCGCCATGTGGCGATGGGTTTCGTTTCGAGCTGGTTCAGAGTGTCCGACGTCGACAAAATCTCCACAGGCAAATGAATTCAGGATGTTGAAAATTAATTCGATGTTGGGCACTCTGAACCAGGGCTCACACTAAGCTTTTTTGGAGCTCTGGTTCTCCCGGATTCCCCACCCCCCTGCACCCTGATTCGTCTCGATTTCAGGGTAGTTGATTTCTGTTTCATCCGGATTCGGGTACAAAGTTACTTTTAGCCGAGTTACAGCAAACATTGACCCGGACATATCGCGATGTTCAAGGTCGAAACAGGGTAACATTTGCGGCGTGCGAAAAAAATAAAGTACTTTTGGATTTGCTACGTTAAGAGTTAATTTCTTCTGTATCAGCAACCTTCACAACTTTCTGGGTTGCGAGAAGGGGCAAGAGGGGAATGTGGCTAAATGTTTTTAGCCAAGTCTTCCTAGCTGCGTAGGCATGCGGGACTGTAGGATGAATTTGCCAGTCTGTGAGGGACGCCAAATATTCTAGGTTTAGGGTGGCCCGGGTGGGAGGAGTCTCTCTGTGTAAAATTCTCTGCGTGTAAGTCAGACCTGGCCAAATTCTCTATGTTATATGGTAAAGGCACGAATGTTCCTGCAATGAGGACTATCCAAAATTTATAAGTTTCGTGGGTGTGGGTAGGAGGTCTATCTCTATTTGGGAGGAACTTAGTCGAATTCCTCTATGGTCGAGGAAGGAATGTTCCTGGCTGTAACAAACTTAGCCGAAAATTCTGGGTTTCGGGTGGTGCGGGTGAGAGGAGTACGGTATGTCTGTGTGTGGGGGACTTCGCCATTTTTGCTTGGTTGCGGGGTTAAGGAAGGAATGCTGCTGGAAGTTGGGGACTTAGCCGAATTTTCTGAGTTGTGCGGGTGTGGGAGGAGTTATAACTGTGTGTGAGAGACTTAGCCGAATTTCCTGGGTTCGGGGGCTCCGTGCGATTGTTTCTGAAAGTTGGGGACTTAGCCGGTAAAATGTCTCTGCCACCCTGGGTGCGAGGAGGGGGGAAGGGGGGGGGGGGGGGGGGTGTATTTATTGGCAGTTGCAGCCGGATTGCCCCCCCAGCGAATTCTGATCTGCCCGGAGCCCCCCGTAACGCCACTTCTATAAATTCTGAAAACCTCGATAACTCGACCCGTTCAAATTCCGAAACGAGCCCAGCGCCAACTCTTCCGGGTAATGTTTTTTCATTCCGGGTAATTACAATTGAAAAATAGGCCCTGCTCTGAACTGAACATGCTGTAAAGCTGGCGGCAAATTCAGGCGGTTTGGCGATTCCAACAACCCACTTGCTGGGTCTGGCCATTGAAATTTAGAAGCTGCGATTCGTTGGTGACTGGATAAGGCTAGCCACGATTGGAGCGCTGTTGACCAGACTAGAAGTGGTTGGTTTTGCGGCGTTGCGTGCGCACGACCAATGAAGCCGTTTGGTCAGTCGGTAGGTGGGCGATGCGGGAAACAATGTACTTTGTAGGGATGCTCGTTTCATTCGTAGGTGAAATAATGTATATTGTTTAGATGTCAAGATTGTTTAGATGTCAAGAAGGTATTGATTTCACTTACGAGAAGCTAAAAGTGAAGGAAAAAAATTGAACACATTAGATGATTGTTTTAATTAAGTTTTCTATACTATTGCTAAAATGTTAAACCTGGATTTTTTTAAAGATTTATATTAGGATTCTTGAGATACTACATTTAGATATTAAGAAGATGGAAGTTTTGGGACAGACTGTATGTGGAAGAGCTAGAGAAACGTAGAATGCATCAAGTACAGGCAGTCACCCCACGCCACACTTCATGGAGGACGAACTAACAGCAGGCAGGACGACGAGATGACCGATTGGTTGGATGTGAGATGCCGCTCAGCTCTCCATTCTGATTCACAAGGAGCCCGGCTCTTCGAGTTCGCCAAGGGCAGCGAAGGCATCGGACGGCTACAGATGCGCCAATGGTGAGGGTGGTGGTTCGGTTAGAAGTGCAGGTGGATCGCTCGCCAGGGCGAGAGGGCAGGCGAATGGGGCAGCATTCACCACACGAGTTTCCGCACGAGCCCTTGGAGTGATGCGGCAGAAATGCTGCCCCCGGAAGGCTGGAGACGGTCATGCCTGCACATCTTCCTTGTCTTGCCCGTAAGTCACGGGTAGCCCACAGAGTACATGAAGGTGGGCAAGAGCAGTGCACGTTAGGAATCTCACCCCAGTTGAACCTAGCAAAGCTGGGATATCCAGCGCAAAATACAGTTCAGTAGCATTCTGCTCCTGCCCGGCGCGTCGTGCATCATTGTGGGAACAAGATTCCCGTTCGCCAGCAGCCGAAAAGTTCATCGCCCAGGCGGAATCTGCGGCTGCGGCTGGGGATGAGCACCACGTGAATTCTGACAGACCCCACCTGATCTTACGCGAGAAAAATACCGTAAACCATGTCTTCGGGTTTTGAATTCCTTCGGTAGGGTACAATCCGCGCACCCACTCTCGGTGCGCGTCACGAATACCTTTGGGAGGAGTGAAATCCAGGATACGAAATTATGCCAAGCTAAACGTTTTTTTATCCGTACCCGGGTTTGGGTGAAATCAGGGCGGGTCCCAAGAGTACAATCCCATTCGTTTTATACGGTCAAACTTGGTGCCTGAAGGTTGAAAGCGGTGAAATACGAAAACTGATTTCGACTGTGTCGCACCGTACACCACCGAACATTTTGTATGCGGGACGTACTCTTGGGACCCGCCCTAAACCATCGTTGGAGTGACATTTTGTTTCAGGGGGTGGGAGGGGGGGGGGGGGGCTATTGAATCGTGATTGAACGACAACAAGCGACAATAACGATAGATCCGGGCATGCTAGCTGGCAAGAAAAAAAACTAAAACCCATAGGGGCCCGGCATGTCATAGGGGATGACATCAACCCTAAACTCGTGGCCCTTTTGCGAGTTTTGGGCTGGTGTAATTCCGCACGGGTTTTTGTTTTTGCCTGCTGACTACATGTGCTGTACGTATTTATCGCCCATATTTAATTAATATTCTGCAAGCTCCAGCAACGCATGGCCGACATATTTTGGCGCATGCGCTGCTCAGTTGTCACATGCAGATCGCCGAGCTGTTATGATTGCGTCGGAAAGTATCAGCCGCACGGATCAATTCGATAAGATGCGGCGACACTGTTTCTAGCCACTGTTGGAATATTTATCGGGAGGGGCTGACCCCGGTGGTGTACAAATACATGGAAATTCGTATCTGGGGGCTATCGACCCTCCCAAAGTTATTCGTTACGCGCACCGACAGGGGATGCGCGGATTGTACCCTTCAGAAGGAATTCAAAACGCGAAGTAGCGGGTTTTCGTATTTCCCTCTCGTTTCGCCTCGTCTCCACCCTGGACAACTCGTGCGCGGAATGTGCAAGACTGTCACTGTGATGGAGGAACGAAACGAACGACTGCCCGTTCGGCAGGTGCATCTCGCTAGGGATTTCTCGGAGAGCACAAGGTAGAGAACTGCTAAATCTGACGCACATTCCTACCATGCACAAACTCTCCGATCTTGTCCGTCCCAGTAACTTTTCCTCGCGTAGATTAGTTCGACGACTACACTGTCACAGAGCAAGATGAGCGCCTCTGCGGTCACCACAGCGCCGTCTGGGCCGGACTGCGTGTCCCACTGCGTCCCTTTCGTCGCGGTATCCACCGGCTTTTCGCCACTCACCCTCGCGACCGCCATCTCGGGGTGCATGGTCCTCGTTTTCGTCGTCTCTTTCGCCGTCTACCTCTTCCGCCGCCCAGACTGCTTGTTCCTAGCGGGGGACGAGGAGAATCCGCCGCCCGGCGATTCGCGTCGCGTCGTCGCGAGACTCAACGCGGATTTCACGAAACCCGGCCTCGACGCATCGGTGATTCAAAGCCTGCCTGTTATCGTTTTCCCGCCCGAAAGTGAAGCAAGGGACATTTCCGCAAAAGTCGGCGGATTCTTGGCCGGCGGGATCACTGGCGGGGTCGGATCCCCGCTTGTTCTTGACGATCGTGACAATAACGAGATGATCCTGAGTCTGCGCGAGTGCGCGGTGTGCCTGGGCGAGTACGCGGCGGGCGAGCGCATCAAGGTGGTGCCCGCGTGCGCACACGGCTTCCACGCGGACTGCATCGACCTCTGGCTCGCCGCCAAAACCACCTGCCCCATCTGCCGCCGAGACCTCGCGCCCAAAACCCTCGTCGCCCCCATCCCCCCCATCGCCCCCATCTCCCCCATCCCCCTGATCACCCAACAAGAAGATTCGCGGGCGGAACCCGGGGAACGCGGGGAGACGGCAGCTCGCGGAGAAGCAGCGGAAAGGGGAGCAATGGAAACGGATGCAGCGGAAAGTGGAGCTGTGGAAACGGATGCAGCGGAAAGGCGAGCAGTGGAAACGGATGCAGCGGAAAGGGGAGCAGTGGAAACGGATGCAGCGGAAAGGCTAGGAGCGGCAATTCCGGCGACAAGTGAAGCAGCTCTGCGCGGCGACGTGGTGATCGTGCCCATAGCGGCTGGTGCATGAGGCGCTAGCAACCAGAGTCTCTGGAGTATATTTTTTCGGGCAGCGGTATTGACTCGACACCGCTACTCGGAGTAGCTGCGTTGGAGTCACCTTAGGAAATTAAAAACAGGGGTTTTTCCTGCGTGTCATCTCGAATCGCTGGATTAGTTGTCGTGAGCGAGGAACCTCGACCGTTCCGCGAAGCTGTGCCGAGGTTATTTCGACCATAGTGAGGAGATAGCAGCGTCGCTTGCGCATTTACGTGGTTAACGCATCTACGTCGTCAGCGCCTTTCACACAGGAAATGATCGCATCTTCCACTGGCAGTGCCGATTCGACCCCCGTGTTAGCGATCCGTCGCTTCGTGCGGTCAGTGAGCAGTCAGGATTGGGGTGCGCGTCATCTTTTTTCCCACGTGAATCCACGTGGCTTCCTACTTTCTATCTAAAGCTCGCGACGACACATGGCAGAGTATCTGCACGCCTTGTCAGCGCGCGAAATCCGCTACGGATGGCCGACGATCTAATGGCGGCGGGATGGCGAACGGTTAGACGGGAATTTGGTGCGCTAGCGGGGAGGCTCGCCGTGTTTTGCGGGCGAATTAGGGACTCGGGAACCCTAAACAATGAGCTGAGATGAGGAGCATGCAGGCGGGAAGCGGACGTACTTCACAAAAATAGTCATGAAGACGGGGGCGAGGGGCAGGAAAAGAGGCGGAGATTTGCGGTGGGAGGCGGGGAGGGTCCGAGCCGACAGCTGGTTTTGGAGGGGGTTGAAGAGGCTTTCCTGTTGTGGGGGGGGGCAGGGAGGGATGGGGAGGGGGGATTCAGTCGCTACAGCGGAAGTTGGGGGAGTCGGGGAACGGGAATGCGGATTGGTTGGCGGGGGGTTTGGTTGAATTGGGAAGGGAGGAGACTGGGGGGGGGGGGGGGGGGGGTTAAGAAAACGGAACTACTTAGGGGGAAGATCTCACCACACGGAAGAGAGCGCGCAGCTGCAGAGATTGGTCGAAGAGGCTGAACGATGAGGGGAGAGAGCGGATGCGGAGATTGGATTGGCTGAAAGGGGAGAATGCAGAGCTTTACGGGAGTGGTCGCACAGTTGGAGAAGCCCGGTGGGGGACATTCCCCGCGGAGAAGGGCGTTGTGCGGATGGTGTGCGACGACTCTCGATCTTGGCGGTTGGCGGGAAAACATCTGATTTGACGAGGTTGGGATCTTCGTCCAGCTCGCGGAGGAATTCACGGGTGTCTGGTAACAGCTGGATGCGTTCGCCGTAGAGGGAATAAGCTTCGCTTCGGCCTTCAATAGCGGAGGGGCGTTCTGCCTTGGGAATCGGTTTGGGCGAAGGCAATCGCAGGCGTTGGCGTTTGCCCTTTCCCTCTTCACTCACTGGGCCCATTCCCCCCTCCCCCCCAAATCCATTCATCCATCACATCTTCTACACTCACTTTCCCCACACCACTCTCATTTTCTCTCTCCACACACATTCCACAAGCCCTTGTCCATCTAGCTCCCATCTAACTCCCATCTAGCACTCACTTACAATCCCACCATGAGCCATTCTGATCTTCTGTCCGTCCTTCCAACAGCTCCTTCCACACCAGTCCCTGGTACGATTCAATCAGGTTCCACGTTATTCCTGGAAAGGGCGCTTCTGCTGCAGATGTTATAGGTACTAGTCGTATTGAGGGGCACCAGCAGACGCTAGGCTAGGAATGCTGTTGTCGTAGGTTGGGAAGCAGTCATTGTTTCGTTGTGCAGGTGACCTTGTCAGTAGAAAGCTGACAGGCATTTTCTCGCAAGAGTCCTGTTCTAAGGTCTGCGATTCTATGGGTCTACCGGCAAAATGCCTTTGAAAGCCAGAACAATGCACCAAGAAGCCACAGCTGGAAGGTTGTCTGCCAATGATCCAACGAAAACCACATACAGTATGTACAGCCCACATTGGTGATGCTGGTGATGCAGCGATGCCAAAGACAGTTAACCAAACTGCATGTGCTGCTTCATACATTGCAGCCTTGACCATGGTTCTGATGCTACTGATGCTGCTGACAGCTCCTGATGTTGCTGATGCTGATGATCCTGCTGATGCTGGTGACACTGATAGTGCAATGCGACGACTGATGTGTAGACTGCATGTTCCTCTGCATGCTGAGGGAGTGTGGAAAGAACTGCTGCATGTTTCTCTGCTGCACGTTTTGCCTCTATCTGCATGTTTCTTCTGCTGCTGGTTCTTCTGACCTTTGATAAATGGACTGCATCTTTCTCTGCATGCTGAGGGAGTATGGAGAGAGCTGCTGCAATTCAGCTCTTCCATCGCAGACCGTGATTTTGCTGCTGCTGCTGCTGCTGCTGCTGGTGGTTCTGACTATTGGTAATTCGACTGCATGTGCCTCTGCACCCTGAGAGAGTACGGGGAGAGCTGCTGCGCATGGTGCCTGCGGATCTGCTGCCGCCTGTGCTGTGCACACCTCTGCTGCTGCTGCTGGTGCTGCTGCTGCTGGTGGTGGTGGTGCTGCTGCTGCTGGTGGTGGTGGTGCTGCTGCTGCTGCTGTCGTTGCCTGCACACGGAACATGGAGGGTTTCTCTGACTCATTTCACAGAAAAAACAGCAAATAATCCTTTGGGACGCAGAAAACTGTTGTCTAAGCAAAAGCATCAGCAACTCATCCAGCATCACCTTGCTCTCCGTTCTCTCGCTCGTCGACGATGCATGTTCCACCTCCCGCTCCCCTGTTGCTCATTCCCCTGGGCCTGACTGCCCCCCCCTTGGCTCCCCTGTTGCTCGCTCCCCTGAAATGCTCCTGCCGGCCTCCCCTGCTCCCTCTGCTGCCCATGCTGCCGCTCCTGCCCCTGCTGCCTGTCGTTCCCAGCCGACCAATCAGGGAGCAGCACCCATTCCGGAACCCCTCTGCTAACCGCTTCTTCCCTTAGCCGGGCATCCAACCCCTCACTGAATGTGACTCTAGCGGGAGTCACTGTAGATGTACTCACACTTGAGCGAACGAACAATGACCTCCTGCCTGCCGTCCCATCCATTCCCTCGCCTATCTCTTCCCTCTCCTCCCCTTCCTCTCTCACCTGCCCGTCCTCCCTCTCCTCCCTCTCCCACCACCAACCGCTGCTGCCCCCCCCATCTTGCGGCATCTGGAGTGGCGGCAGGGAGTGAAGCACACCGCGCGATTCCATGGCTCCCTGTTCCGGCTCGTTAGTAACACACTCTCCATTGTCACCATTGTCGGCATCACGGTTAGTAGCAGCAGCAGCAGCAGCAGCAGCAGCAGCAGGGGGGGGCAGCCACCAGCCTGAGAAGGTGCATTTGCAGAGGGGGCAGGAGCGGCTGGTGGTGCTCCATTGGCGGATGCACGGCAGGCAGAAGCGGTGCAGGCAGGGCGACAGGGCGACGACTGGCGATAGGGTTCCCACTCGCGAAGAGGCGGAAGGAGAAGCAGCGGAAGGGGGAAGCGTCCTGTTTCCCCCGCCTAGTTCAGATTCACCTATCACGGATCGTCTTCGTTGCGCTATTGGCCCTTCGTCCGAGCAGCGTTGCGAGGGGTGCCCTGCCACTTCAGCGTTCGCGCTCAGCTGCGAGGGGTGCAATCGCGAGTCTGCGAAGGAGGTCAGACAGATGGGACACACGTCGTCGTCGTCCCGTGTGGGTGATTCTAAAGGGAGGCGTTGGTTTGCTAAGCGTGATTCTGAAGGGGGGTGTGACTCTAACGCGGCATCGACACCGGTCAACGAGGTCACGGGACGCTCCGCAGGATTAGGGACTGAACGGATGGGAGGATCGACGGAGGCCATGCCGTTAGCCGATTCGCGTGTCGCCAAGTAGTGGAAATATGAAGCTCTATTATTGAGTCCTAAATCGTTCCCCTAGACTTGAAACAGGCTCGGACGGTGTTGTCCGCAATTGTGAAGCAACGCACACCCACCACTATGATCACACATGGTTGTAATAAACTGAATAGGCGTGGAAGTAAAGTAGTGTAAATCGATACACAAAGAAAAACTGTACGACCAAGGCAGAAATTAAAACAAGGTGCTATGCGGAGGTCCACCTATGTACATCACAAAAACGGGTAATTAACAAACAGGGGCACTTGAACGAGGTGATATAAGAATCACAGAGAGCGCATGTAGCGAGCGAGGAAGAGACCCGATGCACCAAGGCATGTGTACAAAAATAAACGGAACGCGGGACTTGTACAAATATGTGAAGAGCCGATGCGTGATGAGCAGTGTTGTACGTGGTAAGGGAAAGGAATCCCCTTCCTCTACCCCTCCCCACCCCCCCCACCCTCCCCCCCCCTCCTACCCACCTCACCCGACCCGACCCCTCCCACCCCTGGTTCAAGAAGTCCTCCCTAAGACGGTGCATCGTGCCCCCTTGAGAAGCCACATATTGAAAGGTTTATGGTACTAGCAGCATTCAGCCTGCGTGAGCAAAAGCTTCCATAAACAGCCTTTAGACCAGATGGCTCCCTTGGCTGATTGAGATCAGACCAGATGGCTGATTGAGATCACGGAATTCAGTGTGCCGCTGCAGTCTGAGGATGTAAGGGGGATGCTGGTGCACACGTTGCCTGCGATTCTGCAGTCCCCTCCTTTACAGTGCCGGTGGTGGTGGTGGTGCTGCTGCTGATTTTGGCTATGAACTGCTTGACTGTCGGAAAATATGAGTCAAATTAGAAGTAATTTTGGCTGTGAGCGGTGTGGCTGTAGATGCCGCTGTATTCTGAGAACGGGGCGCAATGCTGCACTCCTTGCCAGCTGTTCTGCTGCTCCTGATGCTGCTGCCACTGTCGCCAGTGCTGCCACTGCTGCCATTGCTGCTGCCATTGTTGCTGCTGTTGCTGCTGCTGCCACTGCTGCTGCCACTGCTGCTGCTGCTGCCACTGCTGCCACTGCTGCCACTGCTGCCACTGCTGCCACTGCTGCCACTGCTGCCACTGCTGCCATTGCTGCTGCTGCTGCTGCTGCTGCTGCTGGCTCTGCTGCCTCTGCTGCTGCTGCTGCTGCTGCTGCTGCTGCCGCCTCTGCTGCTGCTGCTGCTGCTGCTGCTGCTGCTGCTGCTGCTGCTGCTGCTGCTGCTGCTGTTGCTGCTGCTGTTGTTGCTGCTGCTGCCCCTGCTGCCCCTGCTGCTGCTGCTGTTGCTGCCGCTGCCGCTGCCGTCGCCTCTGCCGCCGCCCCTGCCGCCCCTGCCGCCCCTGCCGCCTGGCATCCCTGTCGAGCCAATCTAGAAGCAGCAGCAATTCCGGCCCCTCCGGACCAACATACTCCTGCCACTCCTCTCGTCCTTCCCTCCTCACTCCCTGCCGCCTGCCATCCCCATGAAGCCAGTCAAGGAGCAGCATCAATTCCGGCCTCTCTAGAGTCACATACTCCTGCCAATCATTCCATTCCTCATCACTCCACGTGACGCTAGCGGGGGTGACTGTAGAGGGAGTGACTGTCCCCTCCCCTCCTCCCCCTCCTCCCGTCCTTCCCTCCTCAATCCCACCCCACCACGGCACACCGCTCCCATAACCAGCCGGTGCCGGCCTAAGCGGCAGCAGCGAGTGCAGCACGCCCCGCGGCTGGACAGGGGATGCTGCAGCGTCCTGCGTCGCCTCGCTAGGAGGACTCCCGTTATTGTCACATGGCCCGGTGCCACGGGCTGTAATAGTAGTAGTTGTACTAGCAGGGGGCAACCACCAGCCTGAGAAAGTGCGTTTGCAGAGGGGGCAGGAGCGGCTGGTGGTGCTCCATTGGCGGATGCACGGCAGGCAGAAGCGGTGCAGGCACGGCGACAGGGCGACGACTGGTGCATCGGCGGAAGGGGATTCGGTGGAAGGGGATGCGGAAGGGGGTGCGGGGGAAGGGGATGCGGTCGAGGAGGATGTGGCGGAATGGGATGCGGCGGAGGGGGATGGCGGGTCAGCGAAGGAGGTGAGGCAGATGGGGCACACGTCGTCGTCGCCTGACGATGACTCTAAACGGGGGTATGACTCTAACGGAGGGCGTGGATTCTCGGAATGTGATTCCAAGGGGGAGCCGACACCGACGAACCCGGTCGTGGCACGTTCAGCGATAGACAACGCGGCCAGGAGTCGTTCCAAGAGCGCTGAGTCAGCGGGATCCGGGCTAGGGCGGACGGGAGGATCGGAGGATGCCATGCCGCTAGCCGGTAGCCGATAGCCGGTTGCCAGTAGCCGATAGCCTATAGCCGGTAGCCGGTCAAAGAGGTAATGGGACGGTCATCAACGACGGCTGGTCCGGTTTATCGCCTTGGAGGCGATGGGTCAGTCAGCGGGATCAGGGCCTGGATGCCATCATGCCGCTAGGCTTAAAGCCAGAGTCTCAAATGCCGCAAGTGCTTTGCAGCTGCAGAAGCAGGGAAAGTTTTCCTTCAAGGGGTGATTGGGAGGCGAGGCGCGGAGCAGATTGTGAGGGTTGACGCGAATGGAGCGAAAGCCGTCTTATGCCTCGTTTACGCTAGAAAATCCCGCGCTACAACGTTTTTTCGAGGTGCTTAGAAAACCCCTATCGTGCGATATTGTTTTCTTTCCAGGATCCAGGCTCGGGCGGCTTGGAGGATCGTGCAATGCTACGTTGCAAGCTGTTAGCCGCTATGCGAGTCGCCAAGCAGTGCAAGCGGGACGTTCTATTCTTATCAGGGCTCACGCTAATTACCCTTGAAAAATAGGCCCTGATTCTAATATATCTCCATCTGAATCTAGAATTTAGGCTGGAGCTAGACAAATTTGGTAGAGAGTGGACGAGCTCATTCCTTTCCGATATAAGGCAGTCCGATTTCCGTCCAGAATGAGGTCTATGCTAGTGAATTGGAAATTTCAGTAATTGAAGAATACAATACATTGAATGACTCATGCCCGAAACGAAGTTCTGAGGGAAACAGAAAGTAGCATTTTGGAAAGACGTATTTGTAACAAACAACGAGTTGCGTTTTTTTCGCGTATTTGCCCAGCAGAAACTGCACAGATCCCACCTCCCCCCCCTACACAGTCCTGCAGACTATTTTGATGCTTTTCCTGAAATGTAGGAGGTGCTTTTTATTCTGCCACGTGGATCAGGAAAGTACGAAAAGCATGGTGGCGGGGAATTAGGAGCGAGCGCGTCGGATTAGAAATAGATCGAACTTGTCAGGCGCCAAGCAGTACCCGCGAGGACTGTTATTTGTCAGTAGTACGTTAGAAACCGACTATGTAGTTTGTGAATGTACCGTTGCCTTTGTACATGCCACTGAGATACAGCTGCTTTCAGGAGGTATATTTTTTGCGTTCTACCAGTCTGCTCTGACGCGCGAATAGGCAGGACGCCACGTGGCACGTCAAAATGGCCACGGCACCGACTCAGGTGACGTGGCAGGAGATGCAACGCATGCTGACGTGTCTTCTGGAGGCTACCGAGGTGATCAGAGTAGCCAATGACCGGAGGCAGCAGACCGTTGATCTGCTCGACGAGGCGATCCACGTGTCGTCCGCTCTTTGGGCCCGTCAGGAGGCTCTAGTCGCGGCGCACACGCGGCTTGCCACCCGGCGCGCAGAGCTGGACAGACTGCGTGCTGACGTGGCAGGAGCGCAGCGTAAGGTGGAGGAAAAGCGGGAGGATGTGGCGCGGAGAAGAGGGGAGCTTCGGGAGGCGAGAGACTCGTTAAGAGCTGCCTCGACACGATTACTGGTATGGCTATCCCCGTTAACAGCTAGCCTCATTTCATCCTCAATCCCTCCCCCTTCTCTCCTCTCCCTCTTCCCTCCTGTCCTCCCCCTTCCCGTCTAACTCCATCCCCAGAAGGCGGACCAGCTTCTTACCCAGGACGGTTCGAAGCAGCAGCTGACAGCTGACAGTGAGGAGATGGCTGGCCACCAGGAGACGATTAAAGCTGAATCAATTAAACCAGAACCGTGCATCTCGTTTTCCCCATTATCTCCCCCCCTTCTTCTCACAGGTGTCATCACACAAGTCATCACACAAGTCATCACACAAGTCATCACACAAGTCATCACACAAGTCATCACACAAGTCATCACACAAGTCTCTGCCACGTATTGACACAATGGCACCTATCTGGTGTTCAATTGGACTTTTCCCCATCCATCTCCCCCCCTTCTTCTCTCCCCCTCAGGAAACCGATCAATTGCTGACTCAGGAAGGTTCCAAGCAGCAGCTGGCAGTGAGGAGACGCCTGGCCACTAGACGACGACGAATGCTGGTCCAACTGGCGGGAATCATCCCCCTCTCGCCCTCCTCCCCCTCCCCCTCCGCCTCCTCCTCTCCCTCCCCCTCTCCCTCCTCCTCCTCCACCTCCTCTCTTCCCTCCTCTACTTCCTCCTCTGCTGTTTCTATTCGCCCTCCCTCCTCCTCCTCCTCCTCGTCTTCGTCCTCCCGCCCCTCCCCCGCCTCTTCCCCCACTCCGCCAACCGCATTGCGACACGTGGCAAGTGCGGATAGCAGCTGGGGAGGTGGTTGGGGGTTCTGGGGAAGAGGGGGAGGGGGAGCGGTTGGAGCTGGGGGAAAAGCAGGCCAGGGGGTAGGGGGAGGGGAAGGGGGAGGGGAAGGGGAGAATGGCAGGAGGATATCGGGAGATGGTTTGAGGGAGGGAGGGGGAGAAGGAGGAGGAAGTGAGGGAGGGAGTGGAGGTCCAGGAGCTGAGAAGAATTCAGGGGCGAGGGAAGGCGAGAGTGAGAACGATAGGGGGGCGAGGGAAGGCGAGAGTGAGAACGATAGGGGGGCGAGGGAAGGCGAGAGTGAGAACGATAGGGGGGAGAGTAAGAAGCAGGGGAAGATGTTTAGCGAGAGTATGCTGAGTGACAGTGGGAAAGGAAAAGAAAGAGAGGGAGTTGTTCAACCTTCAACAGCAATGGGAGGATCAGATGGCGGAGGGAGGAGAGCAAAGGGGAAAGTTGGGGGAGGGGGAGGAGGAGGTGTGACTATAAGGAATGGGGAAAAGCTAGTGGAGAACTCTAGGGCTCGCACTAGTGGCAAGGATGGCGGCGTGGATGTGACTATAATGGGGCTTCCGCTGATAACGGCACCACGGTTACAGGCACTGTTCAGCGCAGTCGGCACGGGTATGGATGAGAGTCTAAGACAGAGACACGACGCTGCTCTGGGCCTCACTGCTCAGGTAAGGTTGCCGCTGGTAGGGGGTTGGAAGGGGGCTTCTAGGGGGCTGGTTGGTGGCCGTACATGCAGCAGGGGCGGCTGCAGGCACTGTTCAGCGCAGGGGGGGCAGGCATGGAGGTGAGTGCAAGACCAAGGCACGATGCTGCTCTGGGTCTCACTGCTCAGGTAACGCTTGGGTAAAGCTCTCAGGTAATTCTTGGGTAAAGCTCTCAGGTAATTCTTGGGTAAAACTCTCAGGTAATTCTTGGGTAAAACTCTCAGGTAATTCTTGGGTAAAACTCTCAGGTAATTCTTGGGTAAAACTCTCAGGTAATTCTTGGGTAAAACTCTCAGGTAATTCTTGGGTAAAACTCTCAGGTAATGGGTGCTACGGGGTTGGTAGCCTTGCCTTGCGTGCACCAGGGACGGCTGCAGGCATTGTTCAGCGCCGGGGGGGCAGGCATGGGTGAGAGTCTAAGACACAGACACGACGCTGCTCTGGGCCTCACTGCTCAGGTAAGGTTGCTGCTTGTAGCAGAGGAGGGGGCTGTGCTTGCCTGCTTGCATCATGGGCAGGCTTTGTTCAGCGCCGGAGGGGCAGGCATGGATGGGAGTCTGAGACAGAGGCACGATGCAGCCTTGGGGATTACTGCTCAGGTAACGTTGCTGCTAGGGGGTTGGTAACCGTCTTGTGTGTTGGTAGCCTTGCTTCTTGCACCACGGCTGCAGCCTGCAGGCACTATTCAGAGGTGGGGGAGCAGGCATGGTATGGAGTGCTCTGGGGCACTCCAGTGCTCTGGGGCACTCCAGTGCTCTGGGGCACTCCAGTGCTCTGGGGCACTCCAGTGCTCTGGGGCACTCCAGTGCTCTGGGGCTCTCCAGTGCTCTGGGGCACTCCAGTGCTCTGGGGCTCTCCAGTGACACTCCAGGCACCACGGCTGCAGGCACTATTCAGAGGTGGGGGAGCAGGCATGGAGTGGAGTGGAATGACAGTGCGAGACACAGACACGCCAGTGCTCTGGGGCTCTCTGCGTAGGTAAGGTTGCTGGTAGTGGGGTGGTGGTAGCCTTACTTGCACCAGGGGCACCAGGCGTGGCTACAGCCTACAGGCACCGTTCAGTGGGGGGAGAGCAGGCATGGATGTGGGTGCAAGACAGAGGTACGATGCAGCCTTGGGGCTCACTGCTCGGGTAGTCTTGCAACTGGTAGGGGGGATTAGCAGGGGGCTGGTAGCCTTGCCTTACTTGCACCAGGGACGGCTGCTGGCAGTGTTCAGCGCAGGGGGAGCAGGCTGGCGCTTCTTTTTGAGGCGCCTAAAAAATTGGCAGTGTTCAGCGCAGGGGGAGCAGGCTGGCGCTTCTTTTTGAGGCGCCTAAAAAATTGGCAGTGTTCAGCGCAGGGGGAGCAGGCTGGCGCTTCTTTTTGAGGCGCCTAAAAAATTGGCAGTGTTCAGCGCAGGGGGAGCAGGCCGGCGCTTCTTTTTGAGGCGCCTAAAAAATTGGCAGTGTTCAGCGCAGGGGGAGCAGGCCGGCGCTTCTTTTCAGGCGAGGAAAACATTGGCAGTGTTCAGTGCAGGGGGAGCAGGCCCGCGCTTCCCCATTCTGCTCGCTGCCTCCTGTTCATCGCGCCCCATCCGTGCCCCCCATCCCGCAGGGGGAGCAGGCCTGCACTATCCCATTCTGCTCGATGCCTACCGCTGCCTCGTGGTGGGCTGGCACCCTTCCCTACCTTTCTCCTCTCCCCCACCACCCCCTCCCCCTCCCCCCAACCTCCCCCCCCCTCCCAACTGGTGTACTTGTGTGCGCGCTACCTGCACCTCCCCCTGCGCTATCCCATCCTTCTGCCAGCCTTTTGAGTCGACTCAAAAGTCATCCCATCCTTCTGGCAGCCTCCCGCGGCCTCATTGTGGACCGCCACCCCCCCGCAAGAGTGGAGGCCCTGTTGACTTGAACCCCAATCTCCCCCCTTCACCCCCCTCTCCCCCCCTCTCCCCCCCTCTCCCCCCCTCTCCCCCCCCTCTCCCCCCCCACTCCCCTCCCCCCCACAGCTCGTCTACTTCTGTGCGCATTACCTCCATCTCCCCCTGCGCTACCCCATTCTGCTGGCGGCTTCCCGTTGCCTCATGGTGGACCGCCACCCCCCCGCAAGAGTAGAAGCCCAGTTGATGCAGCTGCAGGTTGGAGGTGGGGAGGTTGTTGGGAGGGGGGGAGCAGGAAAGGGAGGGGGAGGAGGGAGTGTAGGCCCGCAGCAGCAGCAGCAGCAGAGGCAGCGGCAGCAGCTGCTGTATCGGTCTGCTAGTGACATGAACCTATTGACAGGAAATGGCAACGGGAGCAGCGGGCCCAAGCGGGGCCACAGGGCAGGAGGCAGCAGACCCAGTTCGCCTGAGAGAGATGGTGCTCGCCCTGCGTCCAATGCAGCGGTGATGAGGGACAGGAGAGGAATGAAAGGGGCAGGAGGTCCGGATGATGCTGGGTGGGAGGCGGTTGGGAGGGGTACCAGCCAAAGCAGCAGCAGCAGCAGCACCAACGGCAGCAGCAGCAGCAGCAGTGGTGGTGGTGGTGGTGGTGGTGGTGGTTGGGGGGGGAATGCAATGATAGTGGGTGCAGGCACGTGGGACGTGGGAGCCGCAGTAGGGGCGGTCGGTGGGGGAATGGTAGGGGCAGGGGGAGTGGAGGTGAAGCTTGCGCTGTACATAGGGCAGGCGCACGATGCAGGGAGATGCGCGTGTGCCATGGTGCTGCTGGGGAATGTAAGTTAGCATGTGATGTTGTGATGGGATGGATGGAGTGAAACTCTCATTGTACATGGGGCAAGCACATGAGGCAGGGAGATGTGCGGTGGGGGTGCCTTGGTGCTGCTGGGGAATGCAAGTGCCGAATTGGAGAATGTAGAAGTGCTGTTCACATGCTGTGACTCACAGCCCGTGAGGGTTATGCTAGTTGATGTGCATGCGCCAAGCTGCTTCAGACACCTCCGCCAAGGTGCATAGAGACGTGCATGCGGTGCAAGTGTTGTCACACACCTCCGCATCAATGCATGAGGTCGCACTATTTTTCACAAAAACCACCCTCCCCTTTCCCCTCTCCTTCTGTTTCCACCACCCCCCCCCCCCCCCCCCCCCCATTTCCCTGGTATGTTTGCGTTATTCACGCTCATCCACCCATCAGGACATAGAGCAGGTACTTGCAGCAGTGGGGCTGCATTGGAAAGGCTCGCGTCACCTTCTGCTGTACAACTTGTTTCGCTTCTTTGCTGCGGTGGATGCGGGGCACTGTAGACTTGCATGATTTTGTTGCATGTGCATGTTGTGATCACATTCAGGTTTTAGTTTATGGGCGGCTATAACAACTTCTAGCAGAGTGCTGCCATTTTAAGATGCATAATCTTCAATACATGCTCTCTTGGTGAGCATATTTCAATGTGTAGGGCAACCCTTCCTTGTCGAGTCTCCACTATAGTGGAGCGTACTTTTCACTTCGTGTCTTTTCACTTCGTACTTCTCACTTCGTGTCTTCGTGGAGTATTTCTGCGACCTTTCACGCATTCAATGTGAAAATTTACAACTTGGCGCTGACGTGCGGTGCGGTCTAGGTCACGTCATGACTCGCGAATCCCAGCAGCGAAGGCCCAACCAAACGGGAATTTTCAAGGCTCTAGTCGTCAATTTCCGCATCCCGCGGCAGCCAATGCTGGCTGCATACATCACGCAGCCAAATGCCCATGCGTCGCACACAGCAACCGACATCGAGGCGCAAGTTCACGCATCTCGCATCGCATGCCAATGCCAGCCCCAAGGAAATGCGACTCGCTGCAGAATGCTGCACGGTTTCTTCCTCGTTGCATCCAGGACAAAAGATTTTTGCACCCTGCTTCCAGCCAGCTGGCCAACCAGCTTCCAAACTCGCACGCACGGCTCATTGCAAGCTTGGTTCTCCACCTCGTGCTTGGATGCCATCCAGCCCCCCTGCATGCATACCTGAATATCGGCCAAGTGCTGCCCTATTTGTGCTTTGTCCACTGACTCTCCTCCCCTCCACCTCTCCCATGGAACACACCTCGCAGCCCCATGATCACGCTCGTACAACTGTAGTTTGTGAGTCATGACGCCGTTACACAGAAGTACAAAGGACGAGCAGTACAGGCTAATGGTGGCCATAATTCGACGCACCGTGCGGATCATTTCAGGCCTGGTGGTCTCTGTCCCTGTCGTTACTCCGCTGCCTTGACTTGAGGAAGAAACAACCCCGCAAGTCCCGGGCCTTAATTCGCAAGCTGCGAACGATATTTGTAACTGCAAGATATTTCTTGCCGTCCTCGCCGCACCTTTCGTCGCCGCAATGAACCTAAAAGACGGTGGTTCCACTTTTCCTTCCTCTCGCTTCTGAACTAAAGCAAGGTGCACTTGTGGCGGTTAAATGCTGCAACTTACAGTCACGCCTGAGCTACGCATGGGGCAGTTTGTTTACATTCACTTTTGACTCATGCCGCAACCGAGCCGCATGCTGCACACAACGCACACTGCCAGTGTGGGATTCCCTAAGCATCCCAGCTGCCAATAGAATTCGTCGGCGATCCCAAGGCGAAAGCAGACAAGACGACTTAGAGCGCATGCAAACAAGCGACTCACTTCACGATCGCGAGATCATCGCACGCACGCCGGTTCAAGATGATCGCGAGGTGGATCCGCCGCCACGTGTTCGGGCTAGATTCCTGGATCGAGGTAGACTGGATCAGGCCTCCACCTGGCACTGACGGCGCCACGTGGCGCCATGAGCCGTACAAGCCGTTCAATGAGAGCCAGGAGCGAGAAAGCCTAGGGTCGGTCTCTGACTCAGAGAAAGCGTCGATGCCACTCATCCATGGCCGTTCAAACCAAGGCTGGGCGGGGGCTGCGTGCACCTGATGGCAGTCGGCTTGTCGCCTTGAATCACGCCCGGGCCCCGCCAATTCGGGAAGCGGTTCGGATCGCTCGAATGCCGTGCCGAGACGCCACGCTTCTCTCGACCTCGGGCTCACCTCTCCATTCACAAGAGCTCCTCCCTTGGGGAAAGTACAAGGCTTTCACTTTCGCATGCGGTTGGTACGTGTACTGTACTCAGCGAGAAGCAGATCAGACTGCCAGCACCTTCCGCCGCAGCCTGCGTGCCGTGGAGCCCCTCAGAGGCTGTCGCTTGGAGTCTCGGAGCGCTCCGAGAGATCCTTCGCCTAAATCCTTTCGTTGGACCCTCCGAGAGCCCAGCCTCCGCTCCGACTCGGATTAGTTCGTCCTCTCTCGCCACCGCCGCTGCTTGCGCTGTCAGCGACGATCGCGCCGGCTGCCTCCAGCAGCAGCAGTAGTACGTGTAGTACTACTAGTCGTGTGTATGACAGGGGCGCGGTAGGTGAATTTTTGGTTGCGAGGCACCTCCCTTGGCTGCGAAATCTAGCCAGGAGCAGCCGCTGCCAAACGGCGCTTCCCGTGTGGTCGCAAGGAGCGACGAGCCTCACCGAAGAAGCACCTCGTCGCCAGGGCGCTTGGTCGCAAGGGCGCTTGATCTCCCAGAGCTCCTGTCGCTGGAGAGGGCCTTGAGGGGCCCACTCAAGCATTTCCTTATCCACTAAGACGTCAATTTGCGAGATCACAGGTAGCTATCACATGTGAATAAAAGCAGAGCCCATTCCTAAATCGAATGCAGCTTCATAACAATCGCCAACCCCGTCGCCAATCCAAGAACTCGGATCGCTGACAGCCAGATAGTCTAGTAGACTGATAATCCGCTACTACTTCGATGGATCTCTTCGCTACTCTCCCCGACGATCTGCTCCTCGCCGTTCTCTCGCGCGTCGGGAGCGCGGCGTCTGACGTCAGCCGAGCGGCGATGACGTGTCGGCGATGGAACGCGGCGGTGCGGCACGTGCCTGCGCTCTGCCTGGGTCCAAACACGGACGGCGCGGCTGCTAATCAGACGCCCTACCTGACGTTCGAAGTAAGTGCTCAGACTCGAGATCTCAAATTCGAGCTGAGTTCTTTTCGCAGAATGCCCTATTCGCTATGATCATTTTTCCGCCCCCGCGGCGTTACTGATTTCCGCGTTCCCCCACCTCTCCCCCGCCCCCGTCGTCCCATCTCCCCCCCCCCTCAGCGCCAGGTCTCGCGGATGATCCTCCGCACCCGCGCCCTGCGCCACCTCACCATCATCTCGCCTCCCGCCTTCGCATCTTACGCCCCACTGGCATCTTCGCATGATCCGCCCAGCGCCAACTGCGACTCGCCGTCGGGTCCCTGCCATGGCCGAGCCTCAGGCAGAGGTTCGTCTTCTCTAGCAGACCTCGCCTTGGAGCGAGACGGAAGCAGGCTCGGAGCCTCAAGGCGACGTCCGTTTACGCCCTGCAGCCATTGCTGCTCCCTCCGTTGCTCCTGCAGCCGCCATTGCGCCGGCTGCGCATCTGCGCCACTTCCCCATCCCCGCCATCCGCGGGAGTTCATCTTCGACGCGTGGATGCGCCACGTCGGCCCGTCCCTGCGCTCGCTCACCCTCTCCCGCGCGCTCCCCGCCCCCCGCGGTAAATCCCTCTTTGGCGACGTCGAAAACGGTGAACCCGCCAGCAGCGGCGACGGAAATGGCAGTTGCGCTAGCGGCGCCAGCGCAAGTGCCAGCGGCAGCAGCGGCGGCGGGAGCGTGGTGGTGAACCTGTGGGAGGAGGAGGACGCGAGTCTGCATCTCGCGCACGTCTCCCGCCACTGCACCAGCCTGCGCTCGCTCTCATTGGGCCACGTGTCCCTCTCCGCGCCCACCCTGCTCGCCGCGCTCCAGCCCATGCCGGCCCTGCAGCACCTCTCGCTCTCGTGGCTCCACGCCTCCCCCGCCGCGCTTCACGCCGTGCTTGACGCCGCGCCTAACCTCCGCAGCCTCACTATTTTCATGGCGTCGGGATTCCCTTACCTAGAACTGCAACTACCACCCGCGCTCGAGCACATCTCGCTCTCCTACATCCGTGCAGACTCTGTCGAAATTCGCTCCGCGCATTCCCTCCAGTCCCTGTCTCTCCGCGACATGTTTCTGCGCGCGCTCTCCGTCCGCGACGCGCTGAATCTGCGCCAACTCGCCGTCGCTTCCGCCAACTGCTTGCTCGTCTCCGCGCCCCACTCCACCCGCCTTGCGCAGATCGACCTCCGCGCGGGCTCGCTGAACTGGCCCGCCACCGAAACCCTAATTTCGACTTCCTCGCTTTCGCTACAGTCACTTTCAATGGATTTTTTCACGTCGAGGATTGGCGAGGAGTTGTCGCGAGTTTTTTCGTTGGCCTGGTTGGCGAAAACGTGTCCTGGGTTGATGGCGCTGAAGCTGGGAGCGCTTGCGTGGCAGCATGTGGTTTGCTGGGCCAAGAAATCTGGGGTGCTGCAGGGAATTGGCGCTGAGGGTCCTGCTTATAGCGAGTATGCTCCCGGGAGAGATCCCAGTGGAAGGTGGAGAGAGCAGCAGGTGATCACTAAATCTGCTGCTTATATGAATGGGGGGGTGTCATCGGATCTTGGCTGCTTTTCTGAAAGAGATCCTGACGAATCCGCTTGTAGCGGGTACAAGGGTATGCCCTGGGTTGCAGGTTCTACAGTGAATTCGACTGTGTGTTGCTACAGCGATTGTGACTGTATGGTGTGGCCAAAGCTGAGGAAGCTGACAGTAACTGTTGTGCAGGACCAGCCAGAGGGCGTGCTGCTGCTGCATACTATGCTGAGAGAGGTGCGGACGTTGGAATCTGTAGAGGTGGGATTGCAAGAGGATGGAGAGGATGACGATGATGAAGACGAGGAAAACGAAGAGGGAGAGGAGGAGGAAGAGCAGGATGGAGGGGGGAGAAGCTCTGTGCAGTGTGGAAACATGGATGTGTGCGGGAACAAAGTCGAGGAGGATGGTGATGAGGGGAGAGATGCCTGCTATGGGGAGTCAACAACGTGCACCAGCCATTGCTTGACATGCTCCACTGTGGAGGGCCAAGCTGTGGGAGTTGAGTTGGTTGATTTCTGGACTGACTAGAGATGCATGAGATGATAAGCTGAGCGACAGAGTCAACAAGCCAAGTCACATTCTCGTAACATCACACTGCTTGCATCAATATCCGTCATATCATAAGCCTGCGATGATGAAGACTGGCACTCTTCAGTCAGCCGGCAAAATCTAAGTGTCTGCTTCCATTTTATCTCTCTCTCATCCAAGATGGTGAGAAGGATGACAAAAACGTTGCGCAGGCACGTTACCTCTGCTAAATTTTCTGCTCCCATGGCCTCTGATTCCACTGCATTGCTGGTCTCAGGTGTACAAGGATAACTCTGAGCTGACCCCTTGCACTCTACCTGGGCAGCCCTGTCTGTTACGGAGTGGCAAGCACCAGCTAATCTTTAGGGCTTGAAACGTGTGCAGAGGAAATATGGATGGTATAATTCCATCCATGAAGATGAATGGTTAACTGTTCACCTTAAACAATTGGCTTGTATGTTCATATATTGCAATCAGGCACAACATACTTGCGTTATTCAGCTTCACATTTGTGGTACCGATATAAACAGATACATTTTGCTCTATGCTAACGGGGTGGTACCTGTCGAAGCAAATTCATCATCCATCAGCCCACGCAAGCATGTGCTTCCTCGGGGGTTGCGACCGGACAAACTCCGCGTGAGAAGAAAGCGTGTTTCGCGATACAGATTGTAAAAGCACCGCAGAGCACCGCTTCTTACCGCAGAAACAAGCTTCACTGGCAGAAACTTTTTCGGGATTCGGTTATCTGGACAAAGTCATTTCTGCTTACAAACACGCCCTTTCATCCCCCTCGGCAGCTTTCAGTTCTGCATAGAGAGTTATCCGTTTCTTAGGGCCCTTCCAAAGTGAAATATCCATTTCTCATGGCGCTTTCAGTTCTGCATAGAGAGTTATCCGTTTCTTAGGCCACTAAATTTTTGTTTTTGGTTTCCGGTGTAGCTCGTTTCGCTGTGCCCTTCTCAGTGTTCTGAGCGTTGCAGCTATTTCAAGTGTAGTACGATTTTCAAAAATTCCACTTTGGATGCGCCCTACTCCTTTCTCGCAGCCCTTCCTCTTGCTAAGGCTAGATTCCTACGCCGCGTAATACAACCTAACAGGAGGCTATTTACGGGATTTATCGTTACACATCAGCAAGAATCCGCCAGCTTGTCAAATACCATGCCGTGAACATCTGACACGAGGTGAGCTGACACGGCGTAGGAATTTATAAATCGCAATCGTTACTTCCTGAGACTACCTGGTCCGTTTCTGCGTGTGGGTTCCCTTGGACGTCCCGCACCAGCTACGCGAAGCATCGCCCTCTTTCAGCAAACCTTATAAAGTCCGACTCGCCCCGAACTAGAGCCGTGCAGTGGAGCTCAGAGCAGTGCGACAGGAGCTGTCGCACCTTGGCAGCAGCGTCGAGCTGACGAAGCTTCCAGGACCCTCCGCAATGAGCGGCGGGCAAGGCGCGGACGCCGGGGAGGCCGTGCTCCTCCTGGCTCTCCCGCACGTGCGGCTCTTCAACGACCTCGTGGCCTTACAGCGCGTATCGCGCTCCCTCCATAACGCGATTCGCGACTCGCCCTGCTTCTGGCTGCGATTCCACCACCTCCACGTGCAGCCCTTCCCTATCAGCCGCCGCCACGTGTCCTCTTCTCTCAGCGACACGTGTCCTCTCTCCCCAGGAACCACCAGTGGCATCCGACCGACCGAACCGGGGGATGCTGACTTTCAGCAGCAGGCAGTCGCGACCTTGCCTCGTTATAAGCTGGTGGAAGGTGCTCTTAAGGTGTACGCGCGCAGGTCACAGGGGCAGCTGAGGGAGGTGGTACTGGACGGGGAGGACGTGCGCGGCGATGTGATTATAACGGTGTTGGCGAGCTGCACGCAGCTCGAGAAGGTGGGTGCGTGAGTGTAGGGGATGTGACTGTTTCTCATCGTTCTGTTGCAGAATGTTCTGTTTCTGCATTCCCTTGTGTTTTAGGTTGTCTGACAATATACTTAACACCATCGTTAGCTCTTGTATTGCTTTTCTCCCTGGAGGTTCCGCCTGAATTCCCCTTCTCCCCGTCTCCCCTTCTCCCCCTCTCCACCCCTCCCCCTCTCCCCTTCTCCCCCTCTCCTTTTCTTCTCACCCCCGACCCTCCCACGCGCACCTGCCCTGTCTAACAGCTGTCTGTGAGGATGTGCACGCATATAAGCTCATCTCACATAATCACACTCCTACAATCACGGTGGGGCTGGGGCCCCCAGGCACCGTCAGCCGCACCAGCAGCAGCGCCAGCAGCAGCACCGGCAGCACCAGCATCAGCAGCACCGTCAGCTGCCCTGTCAGCAGCAGCACCAGCACCCACAGATGCCTTTCTTGGGTTGCCTCAAGTATCCACAGACCCGACTTCTCGTCCCCGTCTGTGGCAGGTTCGCATGGCGGGCATTGACTGCCCTTCCAACGACTTCCTCTTTATTTCCGACATGCTCAAACGCGCCGCCTCCAATCCTGCACTCAATGATACCACCGCTTCCTTGCCAATGGGCTCCTCCTTTCCTCGAAGCACCGCGCTCATCAGCACCTGCTCGCAGGTTCTTGCAGATCCTCTGCTTTACAAAACAGGCCTTGCTGAGGGAAAAGGGGGTCCTGCATGTGATTATAGCGAAGGGTTGTCCTTTGCCCCTGGGGATGGAGCCTCGGTTCGAAGTTCCGCGTCTGAAGGTCTGGTTCGGGCAGAGCGATCCAGAAATTCGAAGTCGTTTCCGGGCAGGAGGCTGCAGATTGTTTCGACCTGCCCGTCTGTTCTGGACGTCGATTTCTGCCCGCGGTGCGCTAACATCCGGGCAGTTTTAGACTGCCCGACAAGCCTGCAGTGGCGGCAGCACCTGGAACAAGTGGCTGAAGTTTCAACCTCCCTCAAACTGCAAGCAACGGCACGCTCACTTCTCAAGCAGCAGGTACTGCCACATTCACTTTTCACTCCCCAGTGCACACTACCCCTCCTTCCACTGCATTCTGTACATGTGAAGCAGTTTCAAATATCTCATTAATGTTTTATTTTCTTCCTCCTCCCTCTTTCTCATTCCCTGTCCCTCTCAGGCGTGGCATGGCTGCATGCGCTGCATCCCTCGCTGCGTCTTTTTAACGACTCATATGTCCCCCCCTTCTCCCCCATAAACCCTGATTGTCTCACCCCCCCTCCCTCTCAGGCGTGTCGTGGCTGCATGCGCTGCATCCCGCGCTGCATTTTCTGCGGCTCCTGCACCAAGCACACGTGCGTGCCGCTGGGTCAGATCCAAGGTTCGGCCATATCAAGTGACACTAACATGCAGGAAATCTCCACAACAAGCTTTACTGTTGCCAACAGCGCGCTTGCCGGTGATGAGGATAATGTGCTGGACATTGGCCAGAGGGAGACAGTGGATCTGGCGTCTACGGGGTGGGTGATGTGTGGGTGCACACTGTGTTCCAAGGAGCAGTGCTCATCTCGCATGCTCACATGTGTGGGGTGCAACTGGCGCTGCTGCCCATGGCACATTGACAAGTATGCTGAGATTGCGGTGTCCAGTACTAGCTTTGTCTGCGAGATCTGCTCGCATCAAGATCGAGATCCCATCTATGATGTGTAGAGCCCCTAGATTAGATTGTTGTCTGATAAACTTTTGTGAAACGTGTTTTTTTTAATCAAGAATCCATATGTTTGGTTCTTTAGTTCTCTGTATGCGTCACCCGGATGAGATTATGAGTAGGGGAAAATCTCATCCGCGTATACACTCTGCGAGTTCTAGCATTCACTCGTTTATTTCATTTATTGTGGGAGGCTCGAGATCACCTCCCCTCTTGGCCCAATCACCTCAGTTCTGCCCTGTCATCTCCGCCCAGTTCGGAATTCTCCCTTACCCCACCCCGCATTCCATGTCAAACATGTGTATCTCTTATGTTTGCATAGACTGTATAGGGTCCCCTCTTAGAGGGTACAACACTTAGATATATTCACCTGTACTCTCTCTCCCTACTCAATAATTCAGTTCTAAGATGGTATCAGCAGTAGGTAGGTCCCCGCCCACCCACGCTTCCGCTCTAGGACCTACTCGCCTCTCCTAGCCGCGCCCGCCCTAGTCGCGCCCGTCCTAGCCGCGCCCGCGCGCCCCTCCTCACGGCCCGCGCCCCCCTCCTCACGGGCCTCGCGCCCCTCCTTACGGCCCTCGCGCCCCGCGTGCCACCTCCCCTCGGCCCTAGCGCCCGTCCTAGCCGGCCCCGTGCCCGCCCTAGCGGCCCCCGTGCCCGCTCTAGCGCCCCCCCCCCCTGCGCCCGTCCTAGCCGGCCCCGTGCCCGCCCTAGCGGCCCCCGTGCCCGCCCTCTCGGCCCCACGCCCATGCCCGCCCTAGCGGCCCCTCGTGCCCGCCCTTGCGCCCGTCCTAGCCGGCCCCGTGCCCGCCCTAGCGCCTCGCCCTAGCGGCCCCTCGTGCCCGCCCTAGCGCCCGCCCTAGCGGCCCCCACGCTCGCCCTAGCGGCCCCTCGTGCCCGCCTCAGCGCCCGCCCTAGCGGCCCCAGCGCTCACCCTAGCGGCCCCTGCACTCGTCCTCGCCGGCCCCAGCGACCGCCCTTGCGACCTCCGCGCCCCCCACCCCCCCCCGCTCAGCCTCTGCGCCTGTCCCAGCCGGCCCCACGCCCGCCCTCGCGACCTCCGCACCCGTCCGCTCGGCCCCTGCGCCCGTCCCAGCCGGCCCCGCGCCCGTCCCACCGGCCCTGCGCTCGTCCCGCCGGCCTGGTGCCCGCTGCTCCTGGCCCCCGCGCCCGTCCTGCCCTGAGCTGTGTGCGGCCCGCTCGTCATGCCTGCTCCGGCCCTGCACTCTTCCTGGTACGGTTCCCCATCACCTGCACTGCCCTGCACCGCACGGTACCGCACTCCACTGCACTGCACCACACTGCACCGCACTGCACCACACTGTACCGCCCTGTACAGTCCTGCACTGCTCCTGATGGCGGCGGAGCTTCGCTTCGACGCTGAAGGCCAGCCTCTGGAGTTCGAGGCGTGGCTCGCCGACCTCCGCCGCCACCTCACTGGCCAGCGGCAGGATGGCCACCCGCTTTCCGCACACCGTGACGGTACGCTCCCCAGCCCAGACCCCCCTGCTGTGCTGTCTGCCGACCCCACACCCGCTGAGCGCGAGTCTACTGCAGCCGCTGCCCTTGCGCGCTCTGTCTGGCTTTCCCGAGACGCTGTCGCCCAAATTGCCATTAGCAATGCCCTTCCCCCGTCTGAGCGCCCTCGCTTTAGGTCCATCACTACCGCCCACGCATTCTTAGATGCTGTCATCAAGCGCTATTCCACCCCTCCTACTGCCTCGGTGGGTCGTCTGATCCTTCCGATGCTCTTTCCTGACCTTGCGTCTTTCCCCACTGTCGCTGACCTAGCTGCCCACCTGCGCACGATAGATGAGACCTGGCGCGCTGCCTGCACTGACGCGCAGCTTCGCGCCCACCAGCCGCCCATTACCTCTACCCTCTACCTGCTTGCCACCCGCCTCCCTGACCGCCTTGCCGCCGCCCGCGACCGCTTCCTTAGCATTCAACCCGGTGAGCTCACCCTCACCGACTTTGTAGACACCCTGACTGTTATTGAGACCCGCCACCGCTCCATCGCCCAGGCGAGCGGTACTGTGCCGGTCCCTATCTTTCAGGGTTGTGCCTCCGCTCAGTGTACCTTCTCTAACGGTACTGCCACTGTGGCTGAGACCGCTGCTGCAGCGCAGCTCCGTTCGGAGAAGGGCCGCCGCCCCAAGGCTGGGCGCGGCGGAGGAGGAGGGGGTGCAGGCGGGGGTGGTGGTGGAGTCGGGTCGTCTAGTGCTGGAGCAGACGAGGGGACCCTGCCCGGTTCAGCTGAGCAGCCGCCTCTGCAGCCGCAGTAGTAGCAGCCGCAGCAGTCGCAGCAGCCGCCGCAGCCGCAGCAGTCGCCGCAGACGAGGCAAGCGAGTGTCCTCCTGCCCGGGTGGCCAGGCGCTGGAGGTGGTCGTGCGCGTGGCGGTGTGCCGGGTGGTGGCTCGGGAGGCGTGCGTTGTCAGTACCAGATCCAGACTGGTCCTCGCCGCGCCTTCGTTTGCGGTAAGCTTGGTCATACCACTCCTTGCTGTTTCCGTCGCCTGGACGACCTGTTTCGTCAGCGCTTTGGCCCGTCGCCAGACCTCCCGGACTGGCACAGTTTGCTTAGTCGTAGGATTCAGTTTTTTTACATGGACATGGATGCCATTGTTTCCGCTCTGCATGTGATGTATGGTGATGACTCTAGTGTGCTTCCGCTTATTACTCATTGTCGTCTAGTGTAGGTGTGCCTAGCTTAGTCTCCCCTGCTGCGTCAAGCGTAGAAGCCCCTGCTTTGTTTAGCCTTGGTGCTTCCGCTGTCGCCCCGTTGCCGGACGCCGCTGCTTCGCTTTCCTTCACCTTGGACTCTGGCGCTTCCCGGTGCTTCTTCCGCGACTTCACAACACTGACGCCGCTTCCTGTTCCTGCTGCCGTTTCTCTTGCTGACCCCTCCGGCGGTCCAGTAGTCGCCCGCAGTTCCACCACCCTTCCCTGTCTGGCGGTTCCTTCGGGCTCTCTCACAGGTCTGCATATCCCCTTATTCTCCAGGAACCCCGTTGGTGTCGGCTACCTCCAGGACCTTGGCGTCACCACTACGTTCCCTAGTCATGAGCGGTATGCTGTCTGTACCGAGGCCGCCACAGGTGCCCCCCTGTCCACGTTCCCCCGGGACCCGGTGTCCGGCCTGTTCACCTTGGACACCGTGACCCTCCCGGCTGGGGCGCCCCTTCAAGTGGCTGCGTTTATCTAGGTTGCTGCTGCCTGCTCCTGTCGGTCCCTCACTCACCCGACTCTCCTTTGCCTCCACCGCCTAGGTCACCCTGCGCTCCCGCGTCTGCGTCACATGTGTCAGCACGGTCTCGTCCTTGGTCTCCCTGGTTCTCTCCCCGCTTTTCCCTCCTCCCCCGCCCCACCTTGCACGCCTTGCGTCGAGGGTCGGCTTCGCCGTGCCCCTCACTCCTCCTCGTTTCCCCCTACCGCCGCGCCGCTGCAGACCCTGCACATGGACGTCTGGGGCCCCGCCCCCGTCCATGGGCCGCGTCGAGAGCGCTACTTCCTCGTGCTTGTCGACAACTTCACTCGCTACACCACAGTCTTTCCCCTGGAGCGGAAGGCCGACGTGCCTGACGCTCTCATCCCCTGGCTTGTCTCTGCGCGTGTCCACCGAGGTCTCCCTGTCTTGCGTCTTCACTCCGACCGTGGTGGCGAGTTTGCCTCTGGTGTCCTTGGTTGCTTCCGTCGTGCGGAGGGCATCACCCAGACGTTCACCCTGCTGGACTCCCCACAGCAAAATGGGGTCGCTGAGCGACGCATCGGCTTGGTTATGGAGATTGCTCGCACCTCCATTATCCATGCCGGTGCACCCCATTTTCTGTGGCCGTTCGCCGTGCGCTACGCTTCTCACCAGCTTAACCTGTGGCCGCACCCCCAGCAGCCACAGGTTTCGCCGACCCGTCTTTGGACCGGGTCACCTGGTGACGCGACTGCGTTCCACGTCTGGGGCTGCCTTGCTCATGTTTGTGCCTCCGGCACGGACAAGCTCACTGCCCGCACCCTTCCCTGCGTCTTCCTAGGTTTTCTCCTTGACGCGCCCGACTGGCACTTCTACCACCCGCCGTCTCACCGCTTCTTTCACTCTCGCGACGTCACCTTTGACGAGTCCCTCTCCTTCTACCGTCGCTTCCCCCACCGCGGTCCCCCGGTTTCCCCCCCCCCTGTTCCTGGTCCCTCCTTCCCCGGTGGTCCCTGCCCCCCCTCTCCCCCTTCCAGTCCTGCCCCCTCTGGTGTGTCCCAAATCACTCCTCTCCCATCGGTTGTCCCGGTTGAGGGGTCTTCTGACTACGGTGGTCCTGCGGCGCAGTCCTCACTGTCTGCCCCTCCCCAGGCGTCTCCTCCTCCACCGCCTCTGCAGCCGCCGTCACCTCTGCTGTCACCGCCGTCGTCCCCGCCGCTGCCGCCGCCGTCGCAGCAGCCGTTCGTTGCCTCTGGGGGTGCAGGCGTTGGAGTGGGTCCTAGTCCCGGTTGCCCTGGGGGTGGTGCCGGTGCTCGAGGGGTTTCAGGCCCTTGGCGTGTTCCTTCTGGGGGTGCTGGAGTGGAGTCTCCCGGTGGTAGCCGAGGAGCAGCTTGCGGTCCCGGTGTCGCCGTTGTGCCGCCGCAGCAGCAGTCCCTGCCGGTGTCTGCCCTTCGCCTGCGTGGCCTTCCGTCCCCTGACTCTGCGTCCGTTCCTCTCCTCCCGTCTCCTCCTCTTCCGTTTATGGCCCTGTGTTCCCTCCACCGGACTCGTCCTCGGCTCGTCTTCCCCCTTGCTCTCCCCTTGTGTCCCCTGCTCTGTCTCCTGACCCGACTCCTCCGTCTCACGTTTGGTCTCGCCCTCCCTCCCATGCTCGTCCTGTCTCCCCTGTCACGCGCTCTCACCCTATGTTGCTTCGTTTCCACACGTCTCGTCCTCCCTCTCTCTCGTCCCCTCCTCCATTTTCCCTTGTCTTTGCTCCCCCCCCTATGTCTGACTACTTTTGTGCCGCCCGTCCTCTCGTTCCTCGGGTCCTTGCCTCTCTCGTTACCGACCTGTCTGTTCCGGTCTCGTGTCTTGACGCTCTTGTCGCTGCTGTCGCTGACTTCGC